ACTAACTACGTAAAAGTTGCAATACAGGTAGCGCTTATTTTCTAATAAAACAGATCACGTAGGTATTCCTAGGTCGACCAAGAAGAGAATATAGGAAAATCTATGTGTATGCGAAAAGGCTTATACTTTTTAAGAGCGAATTCTTTATATAAAATCCATAAAATTAAAATGTTGCTCTATTTCTAAAAAAGAAACTTCGTAACATCTGCTGTAGCGTAGGTCTCATATAACCCTTAGCCTATGATTGAATATTTGTGGTCGAGTTATAGGAGTTGCTAGTTAAAATAATTTTTTAGTTTTGCCTTGTTAAGGCGAAGATCATATGTTTAGATTTATGTGTTTGTTTCTCTTTCGAGACGAGCTTAATGATCTGAAATAGTTTTTATTTGCAAAGTTAGGACCTGGACTTCCTTCTCGGTGCAGTTGTTTTTTTTTTAAGAGTTATAGAAAAGATTTTCAAAGATAAGTACATGCAATTAAGAAAAAAATCTTTGTGATTAAAAAGTCTGAATGAATATTTTATGTTTGTAATTTGGTTAGAAATTTGACAACTTTTTTGCGGAAAGTTATTTTTCCTTGTGAAAAGTTTTCCCTTAATGGATGTGTCGAAATGAATTTTTCTATAAATATATATGTTGGTCTAAAACTTTTCCTATTTAAAAATTACTATTAAAACAAATATGGCGCCCAACGGAAAAAGTGACCAAAATCAGCCTTGGCTACTTTTCCTCCAATTCTTAGTCATAAATAAAAAAAATTGATGTATACTTTATTCGGATGCAATGGAAAATTTCAAACGTCAAATATTTTGAAATCAAGTCATTTATCGTAGCATTAGTTTACCCGTTGTTTACATCATTCAAACTATTTCGAAAAACATTCGCAAATGACATTTTCTTTTTTCAATATTTTATTACATTATTATTATTATTTCTATTGAAATTATTTTATTAATTACGCATTAATAATTGTATATTTTGCAAAAATTCAAAAAAAAAATTGGCACATTTTATTTTTGTTGTTTGGTGTTCGATGTCTTTTTTTAAGGTTTATTTGTTTACCAACTATTTCAAGGGCACAACAACTATTGTTATTATTACTCTTTTATTTTTTTGGTAAACTAACAATATCAAGACACAAAAAAATATTTCTTAGTAATTATGACTAACACGTGACAATTATATTTGCTTGCAATAGCAACAAATTTTGCAAAATTAAAAAAAAATCACAACACAAAAAAATATTTGGTATTTAAACTGGAAAAAAGTAAACGATCATAGAAAGAAATAACAAAACAGTAAGTGGTGGCTATATGTAACTCTTTTTGGAGAGATTGAAAATCCAAGCTTTGTAGCCAATATTTATAATGCATGGTAGGATTTGTTGCACATACCATTTGCCCACTGTGAAATTGTGAAATTTAATTGAAAACGACACAAATTAAAACGTGTACGGCATACAAAATACAACAACATGATTTTTGCTTGGAGGTTTGTAAGCAAAAAAAAGTGGAAAAAATACGCGTGGATGATTAACAAATTTTTGATTTGCCTCAAGCCGAATCGATCATTTGTCCAAATCCACAAAAAAAGTGTCAAGTGGTTGAAGTAAAAGGTGTTGGTGGTCGTGTTGTTGCTGTTGTTGTTGGAAATTGGGCAATTTCCATTTCAAACTGGTTACAACAAACCCCCCAGTCCTCATTGCAGATACTTGTTTAATGTTTACATGGGCATTTTTGGGAAATTACCGGAAAGAAATGTAGCTGTTAGTCACTCGCTTGCAGGTAATGTGAGAATGTGTGTGTGTGAGATTGAAACTTCGTTTGAAATTTTGCACTATCTATGGTGCAGTTACTGCAATTGGCCAAAATTTCCATTATGAATAGAAAAACCAACCAACCAGCCAGCCAGCCAGCAAAGTCAAATGAATGCAATGAACCAACAGGCAACTGCAACAACAACAGCAACATCAAACAACAAATGCCTGCAATGAATTAAGTAGCACAAGCACTGCCACCACCACCCCCATCATCCAACGACATCAAAACAATTCAAATGGGTAAAATGTTAGCAGCCACCACCACCATACCGCCACCAACAACAACATCGTGCAATAATGCAAGCATAAATTGTAAACGATTTTACACTGTACACACAAACACACACACATACACCCACTATGCCGACAACACACGAGCCTTGACCTGATTTCTCTTCCTCTCTCGCGGCCAATTGTTTGTTATTTTAAATGTATGCACATCCATACACACACACATGACATGGATACTAGTTGTTGCTGGGTTTTGGTGGGGGATCGTATTTGGTCGTTAGTGGTCGCAGTGACAGGGAGGCTCGTTACCAGCCAGCCAGCCAATTTTGTGTACATTAAACCCACACAAACAAACACATACATGCACTATCTTGTTGCAATCATACTAGCATCCGTTGCAATTCAGCAACACAACGAGACTTCCTTTAATACTTGCAAAATAGGGTTATTGGGCGGTAGAGAGGGAGAGCAGATAGGGATTTCTGTTTGCCATAATGGCGAAAAGAGAGTAAATATTAAGTTTGTGTAGTGCAACTTAGGCCTGTAAGTTAAATGATTGCTGGTATTGGTAGTTTGTTCTGAGCGAGGAAAAAAGGTATGTCGATGCAGGTTCGAATACATTTTGTTGTTGGGAGCGATAAGAGTAATGAAATGCAACAGCATATCTTGAACTTACAAGAGTGATAAGTCTAGATTTTAAAAATTTAATAAAAAAAATTAATGCATTATTGGGGATCTTTCCTACCTGTCTACAGAAGATAATGGGTTCAAACCTTAGGAAGAGTGATCAACTTTATGAAACATCTATGCTAGGCACGTCGTTTCAACTAGTCAAATACAGGGTGAGATAAAAAACCTGCAACAAAGTCAAACGCCATAATTTTTACATTTTTTTTTAATTTTATTGACGAAACCAAAAAATATCGGAAATAGCATCAAATTTTAGAATAACTTTAGATTTGTTCGAATTGGTCACCTTTGACACGAATTATGGCCTTCAAACGGTCAATAAAATGGTCACACACTGCAGAAAAGCGCATTCTTGAGGTGATCGACACTTTGGTATTTTTTAGTGCCAACCTTGCTTTCCAAAATACTCCAGACACAATAGTCCAACGGATTGGTATCCGGAGATTTTGGTGGCCTCATTTTGTAACCATTCTTGGGTGGCGTGTGCTGAGTGCGATAGTGCTGAGTCCTGTTGGAATGTCCAAGGTCTGCGGCAAAAATGTGTGCGTGTCCAAGGCTTCAATACATCCTCCAGAATATTTTCGCGATGATATTCGGCATTTATTCTGATGCCACGGTCGATTAATACGAGCGGAGAGCGACCATAGCCGGTGCTTGAGTTCTGGTGGCCAACCGAAGGTGCACATTTTCAGCTGACTTCTTTGCCAGGTAAACCCGGTCATTGTAAACAACAAGCAAATGTTTTCCCATCGGAGACGGAGAAAACTAAATTCGGCAGTTCACCACTTTCGGCCAAGCGACGCAATTCTTTAGCTCTTTTGAGTCTATTTTCTTTCTGTTGCGGTGTAAGTTCTTACACTTCTTGGAATTTCAATGGCTTTACCCCGAGCTCATTTTTCAATATTTGCCAAATGGAATATTGCGATATGTTCAGCTCACGAGACATTTTTCGGCCACTGCGACGCGGGTTTCGATCAAATCGCTTCTTTACAATTTCGAAACATTTCTGCTGATGTTGTCCACTTCCTTGACGTCGAATTAAGAATTTTCACTATCAAAAGTCGACTTTGTCTCATAGATTTTTCAATGGCAAAAATCGATTATAATCAAAAGTCCTTTTAATTATCCTTTGGTCACGTGTAAAGCCGCGATATCAAAATTCCAAATTTGAAAAGCCCTGCTTTGCATACGATATTCAATTAAACTAACTAGCAAAAATGCTTACATATTTTCTTCCAAAACATGGACTTAACACGTTTTCCACCTTAAGATGGCGCTTGTATGCATGCCCTAATCTCTTGGCTAGTTGGTTGAAATGTCTGTTTTAAAGTTTTTGATGAGTTGTTTGGCTGGTTGTCGGTTGGTTGGGCCAAACACAGCTTGCATTTTTTTTTTTTGCCTGCCTGCCTGGCTGCTAGTCATCTGCCAGAAAGAAATCAGTGAAAATGCACTTTTACTTTTACCCAAATGCTGCTTTTCCCTTTGTGCGCTGTATCTTGTCACGCTGCAAGCCAACCACACTGACGTTGGTTGCATGCATGCATTGGTGAAAAGCAAAAGTAAAATTATTGCTGTTGTTGTTTGTATTGTTTCATTTTCATTTTTTTTTTTTTGCAACAAATGCATAAAACACAAACTCTGAACATAAAACCATAATAGAAATTCTCCAAGTGAAATGAAAACAAAATTAGTCATGTTTAGTTTGAAGTGAAGTTTTTTTGTAGTTGTTTTTTTTTTTCTTTCCAAAAAGCCGCAAAAATAAATTACACTATTTAATGTTTTTTTTTTTTGGTAAACGGATTTGAGGGAACTAGAAAAAATCGGCTGATGTAGAATATACTAATTTCATTATTTATAAAAGTCATTAAAATGAACTGCAAACATTCGCCAAAGATCGGAAAATGGTTTTAAAAATATGAACATTTTTTAAGAATAAAAATTTGAGTTAAAATCTAACTACTTAATACAACATATATATGATGTTTATTATTTAAAAAATTCCAATGATCCTTCATTATCTTATAAATTAAATGTGTATTTTTTTAAATGTAATCGATAAAAAATTAGAATTAGAATTTTCTTTATTTTTACCAAAAATGTATATGAAATAATAAAAATTAGAATTAATATTGATATTGATTAAAAAAAATTATAATATTTCATAAAATGAAATTTATAATTAATTTTTAATTTTTTTTTTTTTAATTTTTTAACAAAAACTCAAACTAAAAAGTATCTTTCTTCTCTTCCTCCCTTTCCAGATACCGAAATTCCTATTATCAAACAATCAACAAGTCCGGGACCTCATCTACATAACCTGCCACCATCATCACATCATGTGCAACAGGCTGCACTCCAGCAGCAGCAACAACAGCAACACTCACACCCGCATCCACACCAACAGACAACACAACATCAACAGCAACAACAACAGTCGCCATTAACGCCACAACACCCGAATGGAAATCCAGCGGCGTTTGCAGGATCAGGACCTGTTCTCAATATTAAAACGGAGCAAAATGTTTTAACGTCACCGAATCAACACCAGCAGACCCATGGAGGGGGTGGTGGCGGCATTAATTTACAGCAACAACACAACAGCCTAACAGGACCCTCAAGCAACAATAGTCTACAGTCATTGAATATACCACACCGGCCATTGTTGCACAATTTGCTGAGTGGCGGCTCACTGCACAGCACACATCACAGGAGTTATGGTGCAGGGACAACAGGTAAAGGAGACAATTTTTATTTTGAACAGCCACTTTTTCTTCCTACTCTCCTTTTCAAATGGGATACAAGAAATTAATGATGTGTTTGTTCTTTTTTCAATTTCCCTTTAAAGGTTCATTTCCTCCCAGTCCGGCCGACAGTGGTGTATCGGATGTGGATAGCTCGAGCTCGGGAGGCCAACCCTGCAGCGATGAACTCAAGGCCCGTTTGGGTCTGCCACCCCACTGTTCGACGCATCCCTCTCATCTGGCTAATGGTACATTTCTGCATCCGAATCTATATCAGAATTCTCAAATCAGGAATATATGGAATCGTGGAAGTGAGTACAAGAAAATCAATCAAAAAAATTATACAAAATTACGATAACTGAAGAAAAGCACAAAAATTTTTAAAAAAAAATAACATTAATAACGGGATCTTGATACAAACAATTTTTGGGGATTATTGGTTTTCATCATGTTTGAACGAAATTCGGTTTAGAGCCTTTGGAGGCTGGTATAACCATGTCGCTATCAACCTGGTAAAACCTAGTGCGAAAATTTCGCTCAAAGGGTCATCTAGTGGACTCAAACGTTTGGACCTATACTATTTTTCCACAATTGACCTTGTTCTAAGATATGATAGTTTCCATTCCGGGTCCTAATTTTGAATATTATGCAATATTTACAACTTAAAAAAAACTTTTTCGGACTTTTGTTACCTAATAGTAACAGGGGTTTTATACATATTCAAATAAGTTCGTAGACAGACCCACTCTATATGAGAGCACTTTGTATTTGTACCTAACAAAGCTATATCGTGAACCCCCTATTAATTCACATTAATAAAGTTTTTTGTTTGAATCGAAACCTATTAACAAATATTAAATTCTAATTTAAAAATCCGAGAGATGTGGCGGTGGGGGATGTTTGAAATAAAAACACATTTCGAAATAATTTCTATTTCTAAATAACTTAAACTTTGACTCAATTCAAAAACAAACAAATGTTTGTCACAATTATTTCTCCATTTGAAATTAAAACAATTATAATGGCTATAAATAGCAGAGGGAACAGACATATATTTCTGGAATGTTTAATTCAAACACAAACACACACACCACAGACACAGCAGCCATAAACTATAACTATCCATTGAAACAAGATTTAAATTGTAGGTATCAAAACGAAAATCTATTTATGTACCCATGTACCCATTTAGCATCTTTCTCAATTTTCCCCCTTCTAGTTGTTTGATTTTCTTCTTTTTTTGCTATTCCTCATAATCATTAACATTTCTACAAACATCTGAATGTATGTATGTACATACGTATGTATGTTTGTTTAATGTATGTGCACTTTAAACGACGACTCTATTGCCGCTGCATCAACACTCAACGTTTTCTGCCACTGCTGTTTGTGTGCGCTTTTTTGTTTTCTTTTTTTTTCAAATATAAACATACATATGTACGTTGCATTGTTGTTGTATGTACGTCGGATATTTATATGTATAAATGTATGAATCTGTGGTCATCGACACATTGCCTTTGCACAAATTCTGAAGGTCACAACCACATGCAACTCTCTTCATTTAATACACGAGCGCAACAAACGACGACGACAACGACGAAAACGGCAACGGCAATATGGCTCTCACTGTGTATATGAATTTTAGTTGCTGCTGTTGCTATTGTTGCTGAGTTAAACAACAACAGCAGCAGCAGCATATCAATACTGTTATGAATAAAACCACACAATGATAGAGTAAAAGTAAACCAGAGAGAAAGAGCATGAGAAAGAGTGCTACGTAGAAATGGTTGGTGAGATTGAAAGTCAATGCATTGCATTGTTGTTATACTGTTAATGGTTTTGTTGAGTGGGGGTTATGGGGGGGAGACATGGTACTGGTAATCTCTCACACTCCGTATGTTGATGTTGAGTAAGGTTTTAGTAATAGACTGGTTGGTTAGTTGGTTGAACATGCTCCCATAAGATATAGGTACACACAACTGTGCAATAGACTTAACGTTGCCATGTGTGTATGGCTGGGAGCTTAAGTTTTTATTCCAGATTACTGTAGAGTTTGTTAATTATAACAACAACAACAATAGCCTCAATGCTCATAATATGGTTTACTCTCTTTGGATTGTTGTTACTCTGCTCCCCGTTTTTTACTTGCAAAAAGTGTAGTACTTCGCCCTGCTCCCCCTCCCCCTTTCCACCATTCCTTTGAATGCTTGTGCATTCTGGTTTAAGAGCAAAGAGGGTATTCCACAAACATGTTTGTGTGGAGCTTACGTCCTCATTATTATCGCTGCCTCGATTGTTGTTATTGTTATTGTTGTTGTGCACGAGAATTGCAAAAACACTTTTATTTTTATTGCAGTATATTTTGTAACATTCCTCGTTAATTTTGACGCCGGATGTAAACCAACAAAACAAGAAATCAACTTGCACACAAACACATGTTTGTATGTATATACGTATTTCGTGTGTGATACCTACACACAAATATGGCTGGGCATGTGAGGCAAAACAAACAGCAATTGGTTTTTTTTTTTTTTTTTGTAAGCCATTCCAGCCAGGCAGCCAGCAAGTCCGTCAGTCAGTCATTAAATGCATTGGATGTCGCCGCCACATTCGTCGTCGTTTGTTGTAAGTAGCAACATCAACAAAGGCAAGCAGCAACAGTCAGCGCCAATTGTTGTTCTACCTCTGGTTTGGTGTGAACAGAGAATGCATGTCATGCCTTTGCTTGTTTTTTCAAGTCGTTGATTGATATACTTAATGGTGTGAAAGAGGGCGGATTTTTTGGGGGAGAGGTGAGGAGTGGGTGGTCTAAAGTTCTACATAAAATTCTTGTAGCTATTAGCAAAAGAAATGTTTGTCTTGTGACAAACAAAAAAGGAAGTATTTGTCATTTAAGTTATTTGTTTGACAAACAAAGAACCACTTGATTGTGTCGAAAGCGAATTTTTGACATATTTTAAACAGAGGGACGTGAGGGAGGGTGAGAGTGTTTGCATGTTAATGCAAACAATTGGTTTTGTTCAGGAAATACATACATACTTATATCAATATTATTTATTATTGTTTTTTAATTGGAAATTATTCTCGAAATTTCTCAAACTTATCCAACTCATTAGTGTTTCATGCATGGGATCAAAGTTCATGTGCCAGATTCGTAAACGTCATTGAGATTTGGGTATACCGACGTAGGCAGAAATACGGTTTAAGAGGGTATGTACCGAAAAGAAATACTATTTACAAGGGCTTTGGCGTCATAGCCGATTTCATGTACCAGAGACGGAGTTCAATATCTACATTTAAACCCGGAATCGTAGATAAATTCAGGATACGAAACCACGAGCTCTCTGTTTTCTAGGTTTACATTCTCTGCTTTTAAGTAATCTGACTTTCTAGTTTCGATACCGTATGATAAATACATAGCTCATACGCCCAGAAACCCTCCACAATATTTTACTGGTGTACTGCTGCTTTTATACCCTCCACCATTTTATGGCGGGTATTTTAAGTTCGTATATATATATATATTCTGGATAAGCGTAAAATTATAAGTCCATTTAGTGATTTCCGTCTGTCTGTTGTAATCTTTCGCTATCTTTCGAACGAATTGAGATTGAAGACTAAAATTTTGCACACGTGTGTATTCCGCCCATATTTATTATTTTAATGCTTTTAGCGACATAATTCTCAGAAATTATTTCAAATTTCGTATTTGAAGATCTTAATGAGTACTGCAAGTCCAGGTCTTCGTATAACGCATAGAACGAAATTGTTTCAAATTTTGTGTTTAAAGTTGGTAATGAGTGCAACAGCCGATGATTTTCGGTATTTTTTATTTTTCATTTTTTCCAAATATTGGAAGGTATTCAAATTTCGGTCTGGCCGAACTTGCCTGTTTTTTCACTTTTTTATTATTATTATTATTATTTTTTTTTAAATCAAACTTACAAACTTTTTCAATCGAACATTCTCTATAACCGTTTTTCTACGGGAATTTCATATTTTGGATAGGCGTTATGATATCTCTTCAATTTTTTTAAATATTTCTTCAATATTTTTTAATTGTTCATTGTTTACTCATTTCTTAATTTTAAATACGCTTTCTTCTTCTTTCCAGTGGCTGAAAACTACTACTTACCTTTGGCAGCAAATGGTGCAGGCGGTGGTGGTGGAGGAGGTGGTGGCGGCGTCATCAACTCATCCAACAACGGCCCAGTGGTTAATAACAGCGTAACCTGCAGCTCAACAGCGCCCAATGGCGCCTATGGTGCGCCGCCCTATTTTACAACTCCCTCTCCGCCTCGTGCCGCCGTCGGTTTGGCTTCACATCATTCCCTACATCCACATCAGCAACATGCTTTGCACTCGCACCAACAGCATTCCTCCGTCTCCAATCCCACAGTTGGTTCGACCAGCAACGGTGTCCTTACCTCCAACGGCGTTCTGTCACATCAACAAAGCGTCATACAACCGGCCACATCGAGTGTTAACTATGATCTCTCCTATATGCTGGAACTGGGTGGTTTCCAACAGCGTAAAGTGAAAAAGCCACGCAAGCCCAAAATCGAAATGGGTGTCAAGCGACGCAGTCGTGAGGGTTCCACCACCTATCTGTGGGAATTTTTACTCAAGCTTTTGCAGGATCGTGAATACTGTCCGCGTTTCATCAAGTGGACAAATCGCGAGAAGGGTGTATTCAAACTGGTCGATTCCAAGGCGGTGTCACGGCTCTGGGGCATGCATAAGAATAAACCGGATATGAATTATGAGACCATGGGTCGGGCACTGCGCTACTATTATCAAAGAGGCATACTGGCCAAGGTTGATGGTCAACGTTTGGTCTATCAATTTGTTGATGTTCCCAAGGATATTGTGGAAATCGATTGTAATGGTGTTTAAATGTAAGCAGAGCAAAATCGCAACCATATTTATCCGAAGGAGAGAACATAAGGCAAAACATAGGCGGAAAAGCAACAGCAACAGCAGCAGCAACACAAAAAGAAATAAATTTTTAACTGTTTTCGAAATTGGTTAACCTGTCTTTCGGGCCATATTTAGAGACAAGATTTTTGGACATTGCCTGCCTTCCCTCACATAACGATCCCCAAATTGGTAGGTGTCAAAAGATTGTTGGATATGAAATTTTTCAGTTTATATTCGTTTTGAGTTATTTTTGAAAGTATCACAAAATTAACGCTGTTTAAGCTTTTTCATTTTTTATTAATTTTGTTATTTTTAATGTAATTTATTGCAGATTTCCCCCTGAAAAACAGTTATGGGTTCACATTTCCATGGCCTGGATGATGTTACATTTTCATTTGGAAAATATTTGCCCTCTCATATGCCATTGGTTGTGGAGTGAGATTATTTTCCAATATGCCATGGATCCAAACGTATGCAACATGCCCACTGATGCTGATGGAAAGGTGTAAAGATCGCTCAAGGATCATTTGTTTTCAATTTTCGCCAAAATATGAATGGAATCCTCAAAACAGTTACGGACCAAAACAAACAGGCAGCACACTCAGTCCCTCTGCAACATCAGAAAGGAGAGCAAACTAACTGATCGAACACACACACATATACAAGGACAGTAGCTTTCTAAGATCCAAAGTCGAATCGAAGTCTAGCTTAAGATTTTGTATGCCAATCAAAGAAAACTATTTTGAAGGACACCCCAAAGTCCTTACAATGAATGGTCTAGCAACAAATTACAAAAAAAAAAACAAAAACAAACCCGTTATAACTTTTAAAAAGTAAAACCATGAAATTTTGTAATTTTTGTGAAATATGACACATTTGTTGTTTTGTTTTTCTCCCGCAAGCTGTGCTATGTTGGAAAACAAAAACCAAGAGGAGTCAGCCCTCCTCCTCTTTGGAACAACATCATTTGTAATATTAATTATCAGCAATGATACAATTGTAAATTAATTGATTTATATATACATCTATATATAAAATTAAAAAAAGGAAAAAATACACATAAGCTAAAACTAGTTTTGTAAGGGATATGTTGGATATAGTGTTGTAATTACAGTACAGTTTTTTATTATTATTATTACTATGAATTAATTGATATAATTGTTAATAATGTTTAAGATTTATTAATATTATTATTATTAATAGCATAAATATTCTATTTTAATTATAGTTGTTTAGCATAATTTTAAAAAATATGTATTTTATATTTCATGTTTTTGCATTATTTTAATTGTATTATTATTATTTTTTTTTTTTTTTGTTTCATTGAGTGTAAAAAGCAAACATTAAATGTACGTTACAAAAAAAGAAACAAATGAAAATCAAATTGTATCATAATTTTTGTTTTTGTTGCTTATTTTTATTTAAAACACACACACACAAAAACCAATTATTAAAATGTTGAATTTTTGTATGTAACAGTAAATATTTAAATTTATGTCTTTTATTAATGAAAAAAAAACACACACAAGAAATAATTCAATTAAATTGAAATTTTAAAAATTGCAATAATTCTTTACAAATTTTAGCCCATAGTCCACACAAAATAATAAACAATTAGAGGAATATTGCATTTGTGTTATTCAACAAATTAAGAATTGAAAAAAGAAATCAAAGACAAGTCTTCCAAGTAACATCCTCAAACATTTACACTTCCATAGACCAGAAACCTTTCGTTTTTTGTTTTAAATTCAGATGACTTTTCAAGCCCCTAATGATCTCCACATATACTCATAGTTTACATAATAATGTGATAGATGAATCCAAATATTAATAGAAATTCTTAATATTAACTTAAACAATATGTGGTCAAAATAAGAAAAACACAGCTGGGACAGGGAAACAAAAATACGATATTTTTAAATTTAAACTTTTCAAAATTTCTAATGTTTTGATTCAAAAAAAAAAAAACTATTGTACTTAATTTTAGGCTGTGTTGATAAATAAGATGTTAAGGCCAAGTTTATATTTAAATGTTTTATAATTTTAATTTTCCAATAATTTGACATAAAGCATATAAAAATATACGACAAATATATTATGCTATCGAAAAATTGCGATAAAGGTTGCAATGTAAACGTCGGCTCACATAATTATAAGCTCTTTGACATATATTTTCATATGTTTGACCATGGTAGAAGAACACAGGTAGACGCATCGACACAGCTGCTAAGACAATTAACTGTCAAACCAATTTTGAAATTGAAAATTTTAAATGAAAATTTATTCCAATTTGCAAAAATGGTTGAAAAATGCATATTATAACATCCTCTGATTGGTCTCGTATAACAAAACATATAAAAATCAACTTATTTTTGATAATACATTTCAAAAATTTTGACATATCAATGCTTCCAAGCGTTGATGCATCTACCTATATTCTTCTAACATGTGTTTGACTTCAAATTAATTAAAAAACTAAAGACTCAAAACTAAATGTAAACATGGCCTAACATATCAGAATGAAAGATAATTAATTATACTCAAGTATTTTCAATTCTTATCAACATTTGAGTCATTAAATGTATTGCAAAAACCAGCCAACAAAACCTAATTCCTATCCCAGTTGTTGTGATGCAATATTTTCAATATCTTATTTGTTAAATAACCAAATGAAATCACCCCCTTTGTTTTTTTTTAATGGCAATAAACCTAAACTAAATACCTAAAAAATACAAAAAAAAATCTATATTTGTATTTTATTTATGCAATGCCAAGTTCAACTTTGCCGGAGCAAGAAATCCTCCAAATATACACAAATTACAACTGCACAAGAAAATACAATAACCGCCATTTCTGTGTTTCCCAAAAACAAAATGAATTAAAACTCATTGATACTAGGTTTACACTCAACCCTTTTAACGATAAGTACCATATTGCGATCTATTTGATACATATTGTCAAACACAAGGTAGAAGAATACAGGTAATCGCATCGGCACAGCTGTTGGAACAATGAAATGTCAAACTGATTTTGGAATTGAAAATGTTGAATGAAAAATTATTGAAATTTGTAAACATTTTTGAAAAAAGCATATTATAATAACATTCGATTTGCGTCGCATAAGAAATCATATAAAAATCTACTTATTTTTGACAAAACATTTGAAAAATTTTGACATATCATTGTTGCCAAACGTTGATGCATCTTCCTGTATTCTTCTACCATGGTCAAACAGTTAACATCAAATAAATCATGATAGCACAATTAATCGCAAGGGAGAGTGTAAATTTAGATATGGCCCAGATTGGTGTTTCCACAAGGTAGTTTTTTTTATTAAGGAACATACTGCAAAGCCCTCCAAGCATAGTTCTATAAAATTTGCCTTGTGTAAATACCAAAAAAAATAATAATAGTAAAAATAATTTTATCAACAATAGACTTGTGTTTGGAATTTTTGTACATTTTCTTTCGAAAATTCTATTAACCACTACTCTAACACTGCCCATATCATAACCACAAACAACAAAGAAAATAATTTTTGGACTTGATTTTTTTCGAATATATACAAACTGAAATTACCTCTGTTTTTCCATTGTTCCCTACATTTTTTTTACATGTGTTTGTGTACACTTTGCAATAATATTTGTAAATTTTTAAAAAATAGTAAATTGTTTTTATTTTTTATTTAATATAACATAATATAATATATAATTAAAAGTTTTTGTACATTTGCCCCTTTGGCGACTGTCATGCAAACAGTGCGTTTGTCTGGAGTTACAAGGGAAAAGAGAAACAACTGCCCTACACTGCCTATAATTTACACTCGATTCAATATAAAACAAAAAACACTCGATTCAATATAAAAAATACAACAATGTAAAGTGCAATCTGTTAAGAATTAATAAGTTTTGTTTTAATTTTTTTCTCTTCGTTTTAAGTCTATATTTCTCTTATAAAGAAAATAAAAATAAAATTTTTTTATTCAAAATTGAAACGTTTTTTGTTTACATTTTATTTGTGATTTGATCTGTTTTTTTTCGGTTATGTATTTCTTTTTTGTGTTTTTTTTTATTATTTTTTCATTTATATTATATTTAACAAATAATAATAAAAAAATGTTTATATATTTTTAATTGTGTAATACAAAAAAACAACAAACCTACTTTATATTATTTAAAAATAAAATTATTTTTATTTTACCAAATTTTCAATTATTTGTTTATTTTGTTATTATTTGCGAGCGGAGTTAGGAAGTGTTAACTTTGATTTATTTAGAATAAAACATTTCACCGACATTAACCATGGTACAATGAAATAAAGGTAACCTCGTTTCAAATTAGCATTCCAGCTCTGCATTTTCTGTAACTTACCTTGTCAAACTTTAAGGTATAAAAAACAGTTCCCATCTCTAATTTTGTGTGTATATAATGGTTCATGAATATAGATTTTGAGATATCTAATGTATAAATTTGAAAGAATTTTAAACATATGGTTACCTGACTTTACCTTCTTAATACTACCATGGTATTTACTAATTTAGAGTTCTTCAACGTACGGAATCGCGACTTTAGTCTTTTGAACAGTTAGTGGAAAATCTTAAAGTACGTTTACATCCGTGCTAACTATTTACCAATCACAAGAAATGTGAATAAACATAAGTAAAATTTATTGCGATTGGCTTATCGCTGTTAACCCATCAAAGATTTTTGATTGAGAACGTCCTATTATCATTGCCCAGGCGGATCTGGCATTGTGTTTGGTGAACTTATGATAGCCGGATGGGAAGGATTTTTAATATGACCTTTTAACAATATCATTAACATGTTTCATTAAAAGTTCAAAGTCTGATTTATAGTGCGTTTACATACAAAAGATCTGCCCGGAAATTGACTTATTACAGTAAATTTAGTGTATGTTTTCTATAGTCAAATCTATTGTGATTGGTTAATTTTCAATGTGAACTGAGAGTTTGTATGTAAACGTACTTTTACAACAAATTTTAGAGAGAGACAGTATCCATGGCCCAAATATAAGGTCCCTCTTCCAAGCCAGCTGACTAACAAATTTAATGTAAAAATTCATTACTGTGCTTGAAATAACAGAACAAAACATAATCAAATAGCCAATAAAGTGCAAGAAAATTTAACATTCCGTCAGGTTTTTAAAATGGGCAGGAACACCTTTACAAGAATCCACTATGATTTCTTCGATATCATAAAGGGAAAATCGGTTACCGTAGCAAAAACTGTTATATTCTTGTAGTTCTGGAACAGGCAACTTGTTATGACGCCATGAGAATATCAATCGTGGTAAAGGAATACAGTTAGATGCATCAATATGTCAAAACTTTTATTTTTTTTCTTTTTTTAAATATATGTAGATTTTTATATGTTTTTTATATGACGTCAATCGAAGGTTATTATAATATGCTTTTTTAACAATTTTTACAAATTTGATTAATTTTTCATTCAAAAATTTCAATTCCAAAATTGGTTTGGCAGTTCATTGTCCCATCACATGTGTCGATGCGTCTGCCTCATGGTAGAAGAATATAGGTAGACGCATCGAAACAGCTTGTGGGACAATGAACTGTCAAACCAAATTTGGAATTGAAAATGTTGAATGAAAAATTATTTAAATTTGTACAAATTCTTGAAAAAAATGCATATCATAACAACCTCCGATTGGCGTCGTGTAAGAAAACTTAAAAAAATCTATTTATTTTTGAAAAAAATTAAATTTTTTTTGACATATCCATGTTCCCAAGCGTTGATGCATCTACCTGTATTCTTCTTCCATTATACCTGTATGCTTATAGTACGTTTACACAACAACATTTTATCCGGAATAATATACTTGAAAGTTATTGTGATTGGTCACTTTTCTCGGAGCTAGATTCATCATCATATCTGGACACTGATATATATGTGAAAAATATATTGGAAAACTAAATAGATTTTGTATTCAATTCCTTTTAGAAGTTGTTAAAAATTTATTTTTTTTCAACAATTTTATGAAATTTTTATGGTGAGTAAATTATTTAAAACATTGAAGGGCATCGTAAGCGTTATTATATTACGGAATTTATTTCTTGTACCATATAATTTTATAGTTTTTATTTTTATAACATTTGTTTAGAAAAATGTCACATAATGGTTTTGTTTCATAAGTTGACATTTTGTTTTCTTCTAAGAAAAGTTTTCTTTTTTTAATTTATGAAAAATATATACTGTCAATATATATTTTACAGGAAATATTGGCAGAATTTGTCATATTTCAATATAAGTTTATTGTAAAGAGCAAAACACATTAAAATTCCTAACTTTGTTGAGGCAATAAAGGCAATCACTGAATGTATTTTGGCCTTTAGTTCCAAACTGTAGTCTACATTTCCATTGCATTCGTACATATGTGTTGAATCAAAAAAACCCGATTGAAAGTTTCCAATGATTCCTAAATCGATATCCTCTAGATAATTTTATTGTTTTTTTAGTATTTAATTTGACTATATTTGAATATACTGTAAGTTGGTATTATAGGCATTAACGCATTATTATTATTATTAAATTTATTAACGTAGTTAAATGAATTCTTTAGAAAAATCATTAAATAAGCATAACAACCTATACACACAAAAAATACAAATATTGCAAAGACCGTTACATTGCATTTACTCTACTCTCTTACAGCATTCGGAGAGATCTAAAGAGAAAACAATTTTCATTATACATTTAAATAGGCATAATAATTTTTATAACTTATTAAGGAAACGAAAATAATTACCCACAAAATTCCATTGTAAACCCCTCCCCCGCCCTATGAAAACTTTAATATGCAAATTAATGTACAACCTTTGAAGTCGAAAGTATGAAAACAAAAAAATTAAGTACAACGAAACATTTATCACATAACAAAAAAAAAAAAACACAAAGTAAATTATATTAACATATATTAAACATTTTTATATAAGAAGAAAAGATAAAATATATTTCTATTTACCACAAAGCGATATCAAATGATCACTTAATCAAACCTTATGAACATAACCTTTAAACCAAACAATTTGAAAACCTCAAAACAAATGCAAACTCCACAACAACAACGTTGATATGTTTCAAAACAAAAATGCATGTTTCAGTCAATTACTTTGTAAGGATGCACTTAAAAATTAACAAATAATTGCTAATGCATAATTGGGACAAGAATACAAAATTATTCTATTCTACACGGAAGCAACACAACATTTGGACCTCATACTTTAAAAATGAAAACTTAAAAATAAAAATTTTGAAAAATATTTATAAAAACATGTAAAAATGTCACATAAGAAATGCACTTAAAAAAGCAAAAAATTAATAAAATTCCATATCCCATGTTCCTTTGTGACCCCCAACTATTTATGATCCCCAAAATTCCCAAAAACTAAAACATTTTTGTATCATTACATTTATAAAAACACTTTACATACATACGAATGTGTATACATAATTTTTCTATAGTAGAAATGTATTTATTTATTCCTCAGAATAGTTTTAAAATGGTTTCAATGATGAATGACGACGACAGCCGAAGAATAAACAATGTGTGACCCCAAGAACCTCATTAGTCTTAAAACTTATTAAAAAATGCAACTTTATTAAATACAATATTTTAGTGAAGAACATGTATTTTAAATTCATCCAAATCACAAAACCACACAAATAAAGCAAAGATAATACAATTAGAATAATATTTGAACAAAAAAAAGTTTAGAGAATTATAATGTATAAGTTTTGTTATATGTCTTTAATATTAACTAATAAAATTATACTTATGTATATTTAAAATAAAACAAATAAAAAATCTGTGTTTTACTCGTGATGATATTCATGTAGACATTGGGGCAAATTTTTAATAGTAAATCCGAACAATTTTATGTTGCGTTCCATTGCACTTGATTCGTTCTCTATTCGTTGTTCGAACTTTAACTATTAAAACACGATTTAATTCTTCACACAAAATTTCCTGAGCGATCACTCCTATTTATACATTGTTCGAACCAAATCACTAAATAATTAACATTTAAAAATTGAAAAAAAAAAACAAATTTTTAATGGAATTTTACAAAATTTCAGAAAAAATGAAGATCATGAATAGAAATTAAAATTTTGAATGGTATTTTCAGTTCAGTTTTCTATCTTGTCATCTTGTCCATAGGGTCGATTATACGCACAATTCCAGAAAGAAAACAGCATAAATTTTGCGAACGTCTCAATAACCTTTTTTTAACATGTACCTCTTCTGTAGAGTTCAAAATTGCAAAAGTATTAAATTATATTGATAATGGCATTTTAATTTTCTGAAAATGTATACAATTTTTTAAGAAAAAACACGTTTGAAAGAAGGGAAATTTTTTTATATTCAATTTTATTCATATTTTGTGTCATTTGAATTAAAATTTCCATAAAAACATAGAAACAAAACATTAGAATTTATGAATCATATTACTATGCATGGCGGATGGTGTCGTGTGAACGGGTTAGTTCGCGTACGTAATTCTGGGAGCGAACAACGTTGTTCGGTTTCCAATGGAACATGCTATTATTCAGATGTCCATGAGAACATGTCATAAGCCGTCGTTATCGACATCGATAAAAAGTTATCGATTATTGAAAAATACGTTATACAACACAATAAAAAGTGTCAGCGCCAGTCACTAAGAATACACAGAAAATTTGTATTCTATGCATTCTTACCTATTTTCTAAATATATTTTAAGTAATTATTGAGATTACAGTCTTATTTTTAATTATTTAAGGATGAACAAGAATCAAATTTCTTGTTTCGTCTAAGAAAATATATATAGGACACCGGCGTCAGAATTCGCAACGGCTTTGACATTTCATTATAATCTGGCATTTCCAACGAAAGAATATGAAGTGCTGACTGTGTTTTCAAACTTTTAGTTTAAACTTCATAAGACTCCGTAAATCATAAAACTTACAATAGAGAGCGTGAGTGAAAATTACATACCAAAGTGTTGATATGGAAATTTAGCTCTAAATGTAGACCCTAAGGACTTTGCAATTTAAGATCATACACGAAGTTTGGTGTAAAAGCGCTAATAGCTCGATTAAAGTATGAAGATTTCACACATGGTCTGTTCTAAAATCTACAAGAAACTACTAGTTTTGCAATTTATTTTCGATATCATAAAGGGAAAATCCGTTGTCGTGGTAAAAAAGTTTTACATTATTGCCGTTCTGAAACTGAGCAACATTTAAAATTACCTACATCTGCATGTACAGGTAGAATCATGTATGGATTTATTGCAATAAGTGATTTTACAATTTGATGACAAATTTTTCCCACATCTAACATATTAATCACTCTTTTTAAACCGAAGGATTTAGCGTATATGTAAAATGTTACTTTATAACTTTTGCACATATGAACACATTTTATTCTGCGAATCGACATTCTAAGGACTTATACTATTATCACTGTCATAAACACAGGTAACTGAATTTTGAAGTCAGGCATTATATTTTTTGTGGTATTTACCTAGCTATTGACATTTCCTTTTGTTACAAATTCCAATGTCATTTAATACATATCCAGCAGCCGCTGCGATTAGTGTTGCAGTGTTTGCAAACAAAAAAGTAAAATAATTTTATTAAATTACATATTTAATAATCAAATTATATTTTCTTATTGTTGGAAGAACTCATAAGGTAAATGTAAAATCGTACAATGTATCACATAATGTGAGCCGGTTGTGTTATACAAATTTGGCTGTCAACCACTTTCGCCAATGTTACCGTACTTCAACGGCAAGGGTTGCCGTATTGCTGTATCGATTAAACTGCTTTGTCGTCGGCGATAATTTTTTCTAGTGGTTAATTTCTTAAAAAATTCTCGAAAATATTAAAATTAGTGCATATAATTTGCACTAAAATAGAAAATAAATGTGTAGCTCCACATTTGTTAGCCGATACGTCCGCGTTTGAACTTCCGATTGCATAATTTGCGGAGTTTTTAGTGGCGGTAGTGAAAAGTGATTTCACAAAACGACGAAGAAAGAAATAATATAGAGACGTTCACGTATAAGTGCGCGTGTGTTTGTGTGTGAGTTTCCAAATACTCGTGGCTTCTTCATGGCAAATTGAAAAGAAAAATTTCTTCGATCCGATTCGTGGAAATTACGAATATCCCTTCCCAAAGCAAACACTATATATTGTGTCGAAAAATTCCGTCAATTTGGTTACGAGAAATTTGTCATCTGTTTTGACAAAGGGAAAAATAACCATTCCTGATCGATTTTGGATGCATGGTAGTGTGTATAGATTAACAAGCAGCAGTAGCAGCGGAACATAGCGCCGACGCCGTATCTCAACAGCAACCGAACAGCGTCAAAAGTATCAAAACAACGCACCTAAACAGCAATAACAAGCGTCGGCATTCATTGTCAGCAGAGCAAGCGTCGTCGTTGTCGTCGTAATAGTGCATACCTGTACTTTTTCTCTTCTCAATGTATGCATAGCAAAAATATTACAAACAAACAACAAAAACAACATTAAGAGATAAAATTGGAAAGTGATGCTTAGTGTATAAATGCTGAATTTTGTTTTGCCCCGTGTTTTGTTTAAAGTTCCCCCCTCATCATCACCACATTACTATTCCTCATCCAATCTCCTACATACCCAAATTCCTTGGTTGTGATAAAAAATGAGTGGGATACCAAGTCCGTCACCTGTGCGAAGCAATAATGGTGACCGCGACAAAGATTCCATGTGGTATTTTACCGCCGAAGATTTGGCGAATTCGCCCAGCAGGCGCTACGGCATCACGCCTGATCAGGAATTGTCTTATCGCCAGATGACCGCTTATCTTATACAGGATATGGGCCAAAGGTTGCAAGTGTAAGTATAGGCCCGAAGTTACATCCCACTTAAAATGGACTTTATTTAATGATTGAATCTTTCCTTCAGCTCACAATTATGCATCAACACTGCCATCGTGTATATGCATCGTTTCTATGCATTTCATTCGTTTACACATTTTCATCGCAATAGTATTGCTGCCGCAAGCCTGTTCTTGGCTGCCAAAGTGGAGGAGCAGCCACGTAAATTAGAGCATGTCATAAGGGCGGCAAATAAGTGCCTAAGTCAGCCGACTACCTCTACATCGGATGCCTATTACGTGGAACAGGCTCAAGATTTGGTCTTCAACGAAAATGTCCTACTTCAAACATTGGGATTTGATGTGGCCATAGATCATCCACACACTCATGTCGTGAAAACATGTCATCTGGTTAAGGGTAAATATACATATGTTTAGAGTTTGATTGTAAATTAATATAATTATATGGGAAAGCGAACAAATAGATATTTGTAATTGGGATAAATGAAGTAAACGCAATGTATTAGTGACATATGTTGAAAGTTGTACTGCTAAGTTCAGGAATGAACTCGAAAATGATTTTCCAAACATCAACAGATTTTAGAATCTAGAAAGCAAATTCATTTCGTATTTATAATATCCATTGTAATAATAAATTTTATAATTTATAGTTCATGTCACTGTTGTTACGGCCTATTTATGTTTGTAAATATATGTTTCCGTGTCTTACTTTTGCCTTTGATTAGGATAGAAAAGCTGTTTAAACAATCTCTATATTAATAGAGTCCAGGCATATTAAAAGCACTATGCATACAATTTAGCTTTCATGTATATGCTATTTTATATATAAGTTATTTTTAGACATATAAGATGATGATGATGATCAAAATTAATTTGCAAAATATAATGCGAACATTTTCAAATTGTTTAATCTAATTACAGCTTGCAAAGAACTGGCCCAAACTTCCTATTTCTTGGCATCGAATAGTTTGCATTTGACTTCAATGTGCCTGCAATATAAGCCCACTGTTGTAGCCTGTTTTTGCATTTATTTGGCTTGTAAATGGTCTCGATGGGAGGTAAATATTGTATTTTCCATAATCGGGGACAAACTGCAGTTAATTGAGTTTCATTTTGTCCCTTATGTTATTTCTTGCCACATAGATTCCTCAATCTACAGAGGGGAAACATTGGTTCCATTATGTTGATGAGACGGTGACGATGGACTTACTTAAGAAGCTTACGGACGAATTTATTACGATATATGAAAAGAGTCCTGCCCGACTCAAAGCTAAGCTGAATTCCATAAAGGCTATGGCCCAAGGGGCCAGCAATAACCGTCAAGGACAAGTAAAAGAAAAGAAAGGTGAACAAGATTGGAAGATGGCTGATATGATGAAAATGTATCAACCAGCTGGCGACAATGGTCCTGTGAGTGGTGCGAGTAGTTCACAATCATCCTCTCAGTACGGAGGACAAGGGTCAGCGGCAAACGATCAATCGCAACAGAACATGGCGGCTTCAATGCTACCGCCGCCACCACACCAACCACCACCACCTCAGCAAATGCGTAAATCTGAAATGCACTCTTCCTCCAGTCAGCATCGCTCTCACCACAGTTCTTCATCGTCCTCCTCGTCATCGTCTTCACACCATCCCCCCAAAATCGGCTATCCAGCTGGAGATGTTCCCGGTAATAATTTAATTTTTTTATTTTTTGCTTTTGAACAGATTTTAATGCTTCTGCTCTTAAAGACCACAAGCTCAGTGCCGGACACAAACAACAACAACAGCAGCAGCCACCATATGGTACAAATCTTGTTAATCGGCAAAGAGATCACTCATCGTCTTCGAGTCATAACCAGTCATCGATGATGGCCCCATCTTCAAAGTCATCATCGTCAAGCTCTTCATCGAGATCATCAATGTCGAGCGGCATGGTTGGACAACAATTACCTCGTCAATCCTCACAAGGCCATTCAATGGATGTGAACTACCACAAATCTAGGGATCGTAATATTCCACCGCAACCTACTGGTTCACACAGTCTACCGCCGCATAGTTTGCCCCATAAAATGGCTCAAAAGCAACAGGATTCAGGTCGTTCTATGGCAAAAGATCACTCTGGCCGGATGCCTGCGGAACAGCAACAACAGTCTAAGCAAAATAGCAGCAGTAACAATAAAGCAATTTTTTCTTCCTCATCGTCATCTTCGCAGCAATATGGCAGTACCCAACAAATTCCTCCAGGTGGTGTGCCCAATCAAGTGACAAACAAATTGGAAGCCATACATGATATGTCACGCAATATGATGCAGCAACATTTATCCAGAGGCTATAATCAGCCTCCGCCATCACAGCAATCAACAAATGGTCCTCCAAATAACTTACTCAGTTTTCATCAGCAACAGCAGGGATCACGTCATAGCAGCAGCAGTAACAGCAACAACAATAACCTTAGTAATAGTAGCAGTCTTAAGCATGAACAATCTAAACAACTTTCCGTCCATATGCAACAGCCCACACAAACTTCAACACACAACCATAAACAATTGATTCCACCGGAGTCGAGTTACTCCGGCATGCCACCAACACAGCACGATATGCAGCAACAATCCCATACAGCATCTTCGTTAAGCAATAACTATTGTAAAATTGAACCATTACCGCATTCCGGCGAGGACCACACAATGCAGCAGTTCTCCTCTCACCAGAATCCTGTCACAAAAACTGTGAGCTCCATGTTTAGTCCTGAGTGGAATGAAAAAGTGCCCGAACAACAGGATACACACGCTCAACAGCAACAATCTCATCCGCCTCAACAACAATCCAAGCAACATCAAATACCGCAAAATCTTAACTATACCAATAATGGAGGCATGTCACATAATCTTAATGCTGCCGATGGTTATGCAGGTTATAAACTAGCTGCCACTAAAGAAAGTCCACCAAAGGTCAAAGTCGAAAAAGACACACCTTCAAAGAAAGACAAGAATCGTTCCTCCTCCAATAGCCAACAAGATCCCTCGCCCAATTCGGGTCGCAACAATACATCGTCGTCCGGAGTAAATCAACCCCAGCCAATGTTGAAGTCTGTGAAACTCGAAGGTCAAATGTCAAGCCTCAACGAACTTGCTGGTACAAGTAATGCTGCTGGTAGTATTGGCAGCGGCGGTGTTAAGAGACCCAATGACCAACAGGCTGTCAAATCAGAAGACGATATTCATTTACGTGATAGCAAAATTCGTAAACTGGACAATGCAGGCGACACAGGCAAACATAGCCAAGTGGTTAATGGTATTGAAACTAATCCGGATTTGGTTCGAAATCTCCTGAAGGAAAGCCTTTGTCCACCGGCCGTTTTGTTGAAAACTGAAAATTCAATTATAACTCCTAGTTTGCAGCCACCAGCCGAACTTTTCGAACCTACGGCCACCAGCACCACCACTACCTCAGTCCAAAATCCTGCACATAATACCTCTAGTTCTTCGGCAACTGCGGCCAATGCAGCACTATCTGGAAATTCAGATGTAAGTGCCATGGAAACTGAAGATCATGGTACAAGTGGAGGTAAATCTGAAAAGAAGAAAAAGAAGGACAAGCACAAGCATAAGGAGAAGGATAAGGACAAGTCAAAAGACAGGGAAGAACGCAAGAAACATAAAAAGGACAAAGATCGCCACAAAGACAAGGAAAGAGAGAAAGAATCGGAAAGCGCAGAGCATGTTAAGATTAAGATATCCAAGGAAAAACTGGAATCTGCGGGAGAACCAATTGGTTTTAAAATTAAAATACCTAAGGATCGAATTATGGGAGATCTTAGTTCACAGCCAACAACAAGCCATTCTTCACACACAGATGCTGCCCCGCCAGTCTTAAAAATTAAAATATCTAAGGATAAACTTGAAACGTATAGCAGTGGAACTTCGTCATCAGATCACAATGTGGGTGCACAGGCAACACATCCATCATACAGCCATAATAGTAGTAGTCAATCTTCTTCGGCATATGCGCCATATGGCGGATCTTCACACTCAAGTTCAACGAACCCACATTCGAGTAGCAGTAGCAGTAAAAAGAAAGATCGTGATCGCGAAAAGGACCGTGAGCGTGATAAGGAGAAGAAGCGACATGAATCGTCCTCCAAATCGAGCTGTGGCAGTGGCAGTAGTAGTTTAAACCCGAACGTCAATACAGGCAGTATGGGCCCAGCAGCGAATGGTTCCCTTGCCGGAGGAAGCCATAGCTCCAGCTCTAATTCAGGCGGTACCAGCAATGGTGGTAATGGAACAACACAAAAAACTCAATATTCTAGCAAGGTACAGTAAAGTTAATTTTACTTTGATTATGGTTGTTGTCGTCTAAAATTTGAATCCACGCACACACATATATTCACTCCGGGTAAACATTGGCTTTGTTGATGAAAGGTTGTTGGTTGAATTGTTTGTTTTGTTACATAAAAGTTTTTGATTGAATTGTTGCGAAACCTGATTTTGTCACAAATCAACCACATGTCCTGCAACAAATACACAATTAGTCCCGGTGTACATTTGTTTTGGACTACATTTTATGCTTCATAAGCTACACACACAACGTACCAATTATGAAGTGTAATTTTGAGTATTCCATCATACTATATATACCCGGATCTTTTTGATGGAACACAGATATTCTAACGGAATCTCTGATTTAAATAAAACAAAAGATATCTACGTGTATATATTCACTATCATTTGCACATACAATACCAATACATGGAACGCACACATGCACATATACCATTACCATTTTACATTTTATTATAACTATAAATACATACTCTTTAGTTTATTTAATTTATAGAAAATAATACTTTAAGCAAAAAAGCAACCTACCAACTATATAAATATATATTTTTAATGTTTTAAACACACTCGCAAACACATATAAATACATGCAAATTCTCATAGCATTAATCATAACTGTTAAAATGCGAAATTGAAAATAATCATGAAAAGAAAGTTACAAAAAAAAAAAAAAAAAAACACATACAAATGCAAACTCATATTCATCACTCGTTTTAACTTTATTTTTATTTACATAATAAAGGTGTATATAATACTCTATACTCGTATCTTCTCTGCTATACATATGTATAATTCAAATTATTTATGCGCCTACATTTATAACATTTTGGAGGTTATGGTTTTGATTTGGGGTTTTCTGGTTTTGGTAAAGACAATAGCAAAATATCTTATAATGTCCTGATCGGAAAATGTACAGATAATGAAATTAGGTGAAATCGCTGTAAGTGATGCTGTAAAGAAGCAAAACACGAATTCATTATACCAGACAACCTTATGGTCTTAAAAGTATGAAAGTAAGAAATGTGATACAAGTTATTGCCTTTAATTACTTACAGCACTTTCACCTAATTGGGAAATATTTTTTTTCTTGACTGGTTAGTATAACTACTTTATTATAATCCGTACTCTAGCACATACAAAAGGACATTTGTACATATACTGAAACTTTACTAATTTTTCCAGTTGTATTTTTTTTCCAAATTCGCGTCCAATATTTTTTATATATTATGTTTTGTAATAAATTAAATACCAACTTTAACAAAAACCTCTTCGAAAATTACCTTAGTTTCTCATAGTTTTCTGGTATTTTCCCATTCTACGTTGCCACAACATTTTTTCCAGATACATCATCAAAGTAATATGAGCCTTCTTTTTGGAGAATCAAATGAATCCAATGATGACGATGATGATGACTACTAGAAAATAGTTATAACTCTATGACTTCCCGTTTTAGCTGTTATCCCTACACTAGATTTTGTGTGCCCACAAGATTATTATATTACATGGAAAGAAAAAAATTAATAAATTCTTTTTATTTTGTGTATATGCATATGAAAGAAAATTCCAAGCGTTCCGCCGCGTCACAGGTCATAATGTTGATATCAAGATATTTAGTTTGTTATGTTTATATATATTCTTAAGTTTCGTAACAAATCAGACGTTTAGCGTAATTTAAGGATAAATTTAATCAATCATTAACAAGCTAAAAGAGCGCATTTTTTTTTTAATTTTAATGATTAATTTTTTGTATTATGCTCTAATAAGTTTTTAAAGACGTTGTTTTTTTCTTTCGTTTATTATTTTTTTTTACAACCCACAAAAACGTCTTATAATTTAGCAAAATTGTTTTTTTTTATTTGCAGAAATAAATATATTTTTATTAGTATTTATTGCAAATTATATAGAAAAATAAAGAAATATAAATTAATTTGCTTTCTTTGAAACATTTTAAATGTTAATAATGAAACAAATATTCAAAATAAAAAAGAATGGAAAACAATTTTTTTATTTAAATGGTATTTTGTACTGATTTGGAAGAATATGTTAAAACGTGCGTCTGTTCACATTTATTTTGAAAATAAAGTTTTTTTTGTGTAGCTAACACATTATTTGGTTTTTCGATACGTTCCCTAAATGCCTTGTGAATTGTAGATTCATTTGAATTCCTACTTTGATCTTGTCTTGCTACCAGTTGCTAAATATTTGTAATGTATTGTCTGCTAATAAATTGATGCAAAAGAGGAACTCCAAAAATAATTCAGAATTTATTATTTTGATTGAAAATAGTTTTTAGCGATATAAAGTAAGAAAAGAAAAAGCCCTCCATTCAGTCTTTTCAATTTGTTCCATGTCAGTACAAATCACATCATAAAATACCATATATTTTTACTTTTAATTTATTAAAATATTGAGGGATTACATTTAACGTCTTCGAGGAAAAATAATAAGTAATGAAATGCAATGGAGGAATTTATAATATATTGGAACTCAACGTAACCTTGATGACATGTTCAAACCAATTGTGGGAAAACAGTCATCGTTAGACGAAGGAATTTTTATGGAAGAAAATTCAAATTTGTTTATGGGTAACATGAAAGTTTGTAAACTTTTATCCACATGTTAAAACATATATAGTTTAGTATTTTAAATTTTACATTGAAATGCTGGGATGCTTTAAAGATTTTCAGTATATAAATCTTACTTTATTATTATTCCTTGAAAGGTCCTAAAATGCGGATCGATTTCTTAAATCCCTAATAATTCGTGTTTCATAAACAAGCATATTTTTGCATTTAAATAAACACTTAGAATATTTTATATTTAAACAAATCAGACATTTTTTATAACAAATAAATTTTCTAATTGATTTTTCACTTAATGTATTTCCAGTTTTGAAAGGATCTTTAACTATAGACTTTCGAAACAGTAATAGCACCGAAGAACCAAATAAAGCCAGAGATAAACATAAGCGATGATTTATACAAAACAAAAAAGTAAAATCATATGTTTAAGCTATAAACAAGTGTTGAATAATTAAATACACACATACATATTTATATTTATAAAAAACAACATAAGAGTACTCTTATCTAACAAAAATTGTTAAACATTACAGAATCTTCAAAGAGATACAACACATACATACATACATGCTACATAATATCCACTATTGCAACTAAATCATATATCTATGACAAAGAAAAATTCTAAAGACACACAAAAGAACAAACCACAAAACATGTTGAGTGTATTCTATTCTATTTGTTGACAACTTAAAAACCAGAAAGTTAATGTTATAAAAAAAGAAATGTTTTTATCCAAACACTTAAAATGATTATAAAATACCTATACACTTTTCCACTTGTAAACAACGTCATTGCAAAGTAATGCAAAAAAATGGAATATAATTGATATGCTTTCTAATGAGAATTGCAATTAATGGGTGAGCATTAGGAACAAAGAAAAACACAAAAACTGAAAAAACAAATAGAATCTTTAACGACAACCGTTTTGTCGAATCTTAAGTATGTGACTGAAGAAATATTCAAAAAATATTCCACAAATATTAAATCAGCTTCTTCAGCTATTCGAAGAAAAATTATAAAAAATAGAAGGATTTGCCTTCAAAATAATGATGACCACAGCATCAAACAATAAAAAAAAAAAATGGAAAATAACTTGAACTAATGTTAATTCTATTTTTTCCAAAAGATATGTATTGTATTACATAACAATATTTATTTGGATCAAACAACAACTACTATTTGGATTATACATAAATTATAACCTCAAAAGTTCCCTAACTTAAGGGACTTGCAATATAATAACTTTAATAATTTTGTTATTAACAAATGCCGTTTAAAGAAAATTTGTTGAATTTGTTTTTAAAGAATACTATTTATAAGTTCGGATTTTATATATTTTAGATATATTCAATACACTATATATTTGTTATTATGTATTAAAAAAAGAAACAAACAGATTGTGTTCCCAAATATAGTTCAATTTCCTTTTTTTAATAATAAAACACAACAACTGGGCAAAGAATATTTCGCAATCGCTTATAATTTCTAATTATTTCTAAATAAATTGCAATTCTTTATTTAGGGTCTTTAGAAACCTGTGTTCGCCATTCCCTTTTCAAATTATCCCTTTTTTAAAATGATTTAAATGTCGAAGGTAGAAGGAGCTCAGGAGGTGATATTGCACTTCTTGGTATGGAAAAAGCTGCCCTGGCTTTCCTTAGAAGTAGGTGGAAATGTTTTAAAATCTCCGAGTATTTTCACTCTATGTTACCTTCAAGGCTTTAAATAAAAAGCTTTATTTAGGTGTTTCGTCAGTAATAAAACATGTTGGATTGTCATTTAAAATACATACATCATCTATTAACCCACTTTAATTGTACTTTAAAATGAAAAAAAAAACAAGTTTCTGGCGAATACAAAACCAAAGAAGATTTCAATTTTTTTTACTTTGCACTATTTTAACAGGTCCGTACGTTGATTTTTATACCCTCCACCATTCTATTAACTTTGTCATTCCGTTTGTAACTCCTCGAAATATTCATAATAGACCCTACAAAGTATATATATTCTAGATCAGCGTAAAATTCTAAGACTATTTATCGATGTCCGTCTGTCTGTTGTAATCATGCTACCTTTCGATCGAATTGAGATAGAAGGCTAAAATTTAGCATACATGCATAGTTTACCAGTAGGCAGCTTAAGTTCCTAAATGGGCCATGTCGGTCCACGTTTTCGTATAGCCCCCATATAACGGTACCTCCCTAAATTCGGTATTTTCATAATTTTAGCGAGATTATTTACCAGAATTATTTAAAATTTCGTATTTGAAGTTCGTAATGGGTACTACAGTCTATGACCAAATTTTTTGTATGATACTCCGTATTTTCATGATTTTTGCGACGTAATTCACCGTAATTATACAAATTTCGTATATGAAGTCCGTAATGGGCACTATGACAAAAAATTTCGTAAATTTCACATCTTCGTGTAGTCCCTATATAAAGGATTTCATTTAAATGGTAGTTTTGGGATTTTTTTTTTTTTTTTCGAAAATTTTCAATTTACTTCGAAATGGTGGAGGGTATTAAAAGTTCGGCCCGGCCAAACTTAGCTGCTTTTAACTTGTTTAAGTTACTCCACAAAGTTTCGTCAACAAACATTCTCGTCTACTGTGAGAATAGTTGTTACTGTGAAGTCCAATTTACAAAGATTCCACAAAAACTGGAATAAATATCTTGCTTTCTTTGCTCCTGATACAAAAAACTGGATCGGAATGCCGGAGCAGTTATATTGTACCCCGTTGTCACGTTTTTGAAACAAACCCGTTTTTGACAAAAAAATCTCTGAAATGTATTCCAATCATAACTAAAAACCACTGAAATATGAAAATGTCTTTTGCGTACATTATTTGCAAGGGTAAAGCAAAATTTACAGTTATGAAGAATAAATTATTGGAAAAGAGAGCCGCAGGACAAATGAAATTAACCCATTCTAACTCCTATCTTCCCACAGAACTAAATATGGAGATTATTGTTGAGGAATAGAAAAAGGTATCAATTTTCAGAATGGGGTAGCAGTTATTGCGAAGTGAAAGTGAGAATTTTTGTGGACAGCAACCTGCTTTAATCATCATATATGCGAAATTTTCTTCGAACCATTTCCACACCTAATATCAAAGAAATTATAGAAAACTTGGTTTTTCCCCAAAATTTAGTTTAAAAAACGTTTAAATTTGCTTAAAAAAGCATGCAATTTATTTGGAAGTCATAATATTTCAAATTTTAAATTATACATTTAAAATATATCATCTTAATTGTACTTCTTAGAGTTATAAATAATTGCAACACATAAAATTGCCAGTTGTTGTTTTATTTACAAACACAACAGAGTTTTTTCTTTAAATCGGCATTTTTATTATTTATTATTAAAAAAGTAGACAATTTTCATGAAATGCATTCGCTCAATAAAACCCTCCACTACTTTATTTGTTTTCCAGTTGACAAATCTTAAGAAACGTTATTTAAAAAACTTTTTTGGCCGTTATATACATTGAATCAAGAAACAATTCCCAAAAACCAATTACCCATAGTTTCCAGGAATATGCAAGAAAATTATATATATGTATGTAATTACTTCCTTTAAATAAACGTTATTTTAAATTCATTAATTGGTGGCAATTCAAATGAAATGTTCATTTAAAAATTGAAAAAAAAAAAAAACAAATATAAATATAATTAAATATTAAATTGTTAATTTTAGTTTTTCCTTTCTTTTATCAAATAAGACTATATGCCTTACTAATCGTATATGCTTGAGTTTGATTTTTGGACAATTCTGATATAGCCAAAATACAAGCAATTATTATCTTGATTAATTTCTTTAAGTTAAAGCTTTATTATGAATTTTCTTATTATTTAAAAGGTTTTTATTTAATTTTTTTATACAGAAAATACCAATACATTTGCTAAAAATATTAAAAATAAAAATACACATAAATAAAACAAAATAAAGCAACTGCTATGTAAATATATAAAGAAAATAATTTAAAATTTCATGCAAAATAAAAACGCAAAATATATGGGAGAAATTCACCAAATAATTCCTAAAACAAACATTGAATTACAAATAAATATCTCATAATACACAAAATGGAAAATTGAAATGTTTAAAAGAAATTTAAAACAAAAAACTACAACAACTAAATAATATTATAATGATAAGAAACAAAGAAATGAAAAATAAAACAAAAACTGAAAACGAAAGAAACAGAAAACAATTATGTGTTTTATTATTTTTGCAGCTAAAGAGAATTCAAGGTAACTGGGAGTGCAACATATGAGTTAATTTTTTTGTGGAGTAGGGTTTGTCAGTGGCTTATGGGATTCTGAAAGTGAAATATTTTTTTTTAACAAAGCATCGAATTGTCGTTTTAAAAATAAATCCTAACTGATTAAGGAAATGTGAAACTTCGGCAAATAAATCATTTTATCAAATGTATTTTTAAACAAAGTGATATTCAATACTCAAAATTTATATACACATAGGTCTTTATGACACAATATAAAATTAATTTTAAATTGAGAAAAGACTTTCCAATTTTTCAGCAAATAAATTTAATTTTTTTCGTATTACTCATTTTTGTACTTTAACGGAATTCGGTTATTTGTAAGATCGCGAGTTACATTGAATTTTGGATACATTAAATTACACGTGTTACACAATGCAATATATGTCAAAATTTATAACACTTATTTACATTGTAAAGCGCAAACAATTATTTGTAAGCATGACAAATGTCTTCTTTTAAAATTATGCAGAAGCTGTTGTAAAATGCAAGATTTTGAATAGAATTTTAAAGTTCCAACGAAAACTAAAGTTTTTTTTGGAAGATCCCAAAACTTCGTGCTTTTCACCATCTCACGACACCTGTTTGTTTTTTTCTAATTTTATTTTTGCCCTTCTCTCGCCGTAAGCTGTTGAATGGATTATCTTATAGCAATGGTGGTGGTGCGATAATGGTGATTGTCTATGCTCTCTGCTAGGAAATGTGCTGTTTGCTTCCATTCAATGTTTATTATTTGTTTGATTTGACAAATTATAAAGAATTGATTTTTTCTGAGTCATTTACACAAAACGCTGAATTGAAAAAAAATATTAAAAAGTACATTGGCACAAAAGGTTATTTTTAAATATAAGAAACAAGTAAACATTATTGACTGCTTGGTATTTGTCAGTTAACAGATGTTTGAATGGTGTTCACTTTAGTATGTAAATATGTTTGTATGTATGTAGTTTATTCAGATCGATGCGATGGTGTAAAACAAGTTGGAAATACCGGATGTAAAATGCGTATTTGAGTTGCTAAGTATTGAAATTAAAAAGGCTGATATATATTGGGGTGAATTTTGCACACATCAAGTAAATAGCTGTTGCACCAATCAAATGTAATTTCAACGTTTTGAAACAAAATTAATTTTAATTGCATATATATTCCCTCAACCATAACTAAATTTCTTGTAGTACCAACCTAATGTACACTTCATTTACTTCATGTAAAAGTGCAATCATAAATATTTTACATATTTGTAACGTTCTTTAAAACTGGTTTTACTTTCTATAAATGTTACAATGAAATGTTGTCTTCAGTAAATGAGCATAGTAAAATAAATCTCTTAAAGTATTATAATATTAATTAATGCAAGTTAATAATTAAATTTTGAATAGATATTCTAACTACATAATTTGTGGTCTGCTTTCTATTTGTCACTTACAACGGAAGCGGCAACGGTTTTTAATAAATAAACTGTTTTTATACCCACAACATTTTTATTATTTTAAAGATTGAAAGTATCTTGTCATTATCAAGGCCATACAAAATTGTATATTAATTAAAAAAGAAATTTGCATTAACTGAATAAGATTTCTTAAACTTCATCCTGAATTCATGGACAAACACCTTGTTAACGTTTTTGTATTAAATGGCTTGATTTCTTGACACAAAGTTTGTTAAAATTAAACAATTTTTATACCCTCCACCATAGTATGGAGGTTATATTAAGTTAGTCATTTCGTTTGTAACACCTCGAAATATACATTTTAGACCCCACAAAGTATATATATTCTTGATCAGCATAACATGTCCATCCGTCTATCCGTCTATTTGGTATTGAAAATGGGCCGTGTAGTTCCACGTTTTGGTATAGCCCCACATATAACTGTACCTCTCGATATTCGGTATTGTGACGATTTTAGCGACATTATTCACCGGAATTGTTTCGAATTTGGTATTAGAAGTTCGAAATGGATGCTACAACCTATGGCAGGAGATTGTATGTGCAGGTCCACGTCTTCGTATAGCCTCCATATAAGGGTACCTCCCGATATTCGGTATTTTGATGATTTTACCTACATTATTCACCGATTTTTTTTTTTAAGTTTCGCATTTGAATATTGTAATGCCTTATGCTAAAAGTTACCTATGCAGGTCCATAACGTCGTATAGATCCCATTATAACAGATACATTCGGTATTTTTAAGATTTTTACAGAATTTTTAACGGATTTTTTTGAGAGTTACTAAATTCGTTCCAAATGATGGAGGGTATTCAAAGTTCGACCCGGCCGAATTACAGCTTTGGAAAAAATGCTGCCTACCTTTATTTGCAACAATACATAAAAAGAGGCAGACGGACTTATGGAGATCCTTAAAGAATAACTGTGGTTCCACAACGACATAATACCCTGCACTACAATGTGGAGTGTAAAAATTAAATGACAATTTTAATATACAGTGTTCTTGCGGTGGGTATATAAAAATGTATGTTGCAAAAACAGATTTTACAACAAGTAAGCAAAGGCTATTGTCATGTGGGGCCGACCATGAGATACACAACAACACCATAATATGTCAAAATCCCTCTTATGTCCAAATCTATTTTGGAAGATTTCGTTTTCAAAATAATGTCACAGAGCCCTCTCCAGATGTTACCCTTAGGCTTTTGGTCATTTTCCAATATTTACGCACTCCGTCATATTGTTAGGTATTCAAAACAATTTTACACGAAAGATGCGGTCCATTTTACAGCTGTGGTCCATTTTACCAACGGTCACCAAAATGCTAGACTTCTTTCGTGTGGATTAGTTTTCAATTGTGGCCTGTTAGAGCGACTGCAAAATCAGAAAAATTTTAATTTTGTTGGTCCATTTGAACCCTTAAATGTACATCTTCAAAAACAATAGCCTTTAATTCTAATCCAAACCCTACCCCCATGTAAAATTTCGTGAGGATCGGACGAAAATTGTATAAAAAGTTTTACAAAAAGTGAATAAATGTAATAAAAAATAATCACATTTTTATTGGCATATTTTTACGCAATTTTCTTAGATTTTATCCTTTTTGGCATGAGACCATTTCAAATTTATGAGAATTGTGAAAATCAGTCCAGCAGTTATTGTCTTATAAGTAAAATAACTGAGATCTATTTCGTTTACATATATATTGTATCTATTTTGTTATATATCCGATATCTTGGCTATCAGCGCTACTGTAATGGTCAGAAGTGACCTTTCAATGTATATGTGATTACGCTGGAATTAGAAATATTCGCGGTTTAATGGACATTTTCGTATTTTCTTATATAAAAGTTGTGGTCTATTTCACCCGCTAAATATTATTCGATTGCCCAGCCCTAAAATCTAACCCCATACTAAATTCCGCGTCGCTCGGTCTATGCTTGCCACCTTTAGAGCAACTGCTAAATCAGGAACATTTTCTGTTTTTGGTCCAGTCAACTGATAAATATTCTGTGATCATCTGCAAAGGTGTTATATAATTTTTGGCCCAATCAAACATATAATATCCCCAACACATGGTGTTGTAGGGTATAAAACCATATTTTTGTGTACTAATATGATGGTAAACCAATATATTATGCATTACCTTAAATCTTTTTCTGTTATATGAATTAATTTCAGTACTTCTGTTCGAAACATTCAAGATTTTGTTCACAATGATGAAATTTTGCTTAAAATCATTTTCGTGTATTTCAAAAGAAATGATAAGTGCAACTTATTGATAATGACGAGTAGATAAATATTCATTTGTTCAACGTACAATACATATGAACTGAAAAATGACTTATCTAACAATATTATTGAAGAAATACACATTTTCAGCTTTGAAATCAGTTCAATTTTGTAAACTAATAAATTTAAAATAGAAAGTAACAATTTTGTAGAAAATAATTCAAGTTTAAGATTTTCTGTGACTGTTTGGCATTAAAAATAGGGATACTGATGCCAATTGATTTTTGAAAACCAAGCTCTACAATGCTTCATTCTATAATATAAGTTTTGAAATGGACGGTTTTTTTAACTAAATATTATTTGTTTGCTGCAACATCACCTTTTTCATCTGTATGGATTTCCCCTTTCAAATTCATTTTAAATGAATTTTCTTTAACAGTGACGTCAAACAACAACACCCCCTTTTTTATTTATATCCAGAGATTTATAACTTTGTGTGTTTGTTGTAAAGATGATGATTTGACTTGAAAGAAGATCTTTTAAATTTAATAACAGGTAATTAATATATAAACAAACATTTATACATATAATTGTACATGTACATACTGATGTATACGAAAACACCAAAACTTAATGTAAAGAATCTACATACAAGATTTTTAGAATTAAAGAAAAGCTTAACATTCTTCTGACTATAAACTTTAATACATATCTTGTCTACATAAAAAATTTTAAAAAATATTACATTTAACGCAGAAAATATTTTTGATAAATCCAAATTTAATTGACCCACTAATTATCTGTATTTTATAATCTTACTAACCTTATTATGTTAATATATTTGTGTAATTCGTTCTGTAAGGATTTGCATAAATATGTCAAATGGATGTTAACGACTTGAATCGTCTGAATTAAAGGCAAACATTTTTAATTTTTTTTACACTTACCATAAGATTGATGATAAGATGATTTAATTTGCAGACCTCTATACCAGTGACACCTGATCTTAATACTATGAAGCTCCCAGTTTTCAAATAAATTGGTGTTATTTGGCACTTTGTGGTGACATTAGAAGTATCTTCGCTAAAAATCTGAAGACACTTTGTCCAATTCAGTCAAAATTACAAAAGAAAAAAAAAAAACAAGAGAAAAAAAGTTAGTCGCACAAGAAAATAGTATCTCACATAAAAAGTAACAATAGAAAATTAAGGGTGACGAAGTTATTCAAAATTAAATGATTATGATTTCAAACATTTAAAATTATAGATTATAATTGCAATGTGGGAACCCAAAAAACTAAATTGTAGACCCTTCAATTAAAAAAAAAACTTCAATTTGTCTTTGCTTTGTAACTCCTCAAAACATTCATGTTTGTGTCTCGTACCACCCTACAAAGTATATATATTCTGGATCAACGTACAATTCAAAAATGATTTAGCCATTTCCGTCTGCCTGTCTGTTGTAATAACCCTAACTTCCGAACGAGTTGAGATAGAAGACTAAAATTTTGCATACATGTGTATATTGCCAGTAGGCAGATTAAGTTCGTAAATAGGCTATATTGGTCCACGTTTTCGTATAGCTCCCATATAACGGTACCTCCCGATATTCGGTATTTTGATGATTTTAGCGACATCATTCACACGAATTTTATCAAATTTCGTTTGTGAAGACCTTTATGGGTACTACAGCTTATGGCAAAAAAAAAATTATGCAGGTCCAGGTCTACGTATAGCCCTCGTATAAAGGTCTTCATTTATATGGTATTTTTCGAAATTCGTTAAAATTTTTCAAGTTCCCTCCAAATGGTGGAGGTTATTAAAAGTTCTGCCCGGCCGAACTTAGCTGCTTTTTACTTGTTTGTTGTTACTTTATTTGCCTAACGGATGGGTCGAACTAGTGATCTCAACATGTACTCAACCATTGTTACGAACATTTATTATTGTTTAACGACGTTTATGTGCGTTGGTAACTTAATGTCTGTATGAGGTTTACAGGGTGAGATGAAAAAACTGCAACCAACTTTACACTGTTGTCATTTCTAAACCACTTGTCCGACAGCTGTTAAAATTATTCCAGTGACCGCTCATTATATTGTTTACAAGCGTACAAAAGCATTTTGGTGAGAAGTTTCCAGAAAAAAGTTATTCGTGATGGAATTCAAGCGTGATAGTGTGTTTGCTAGAAAACCACAAGTGGCTATCGTTAGGCACTCCAGCATTTAAATGTGAATAAATCGTTTGTGTCTCGTACCATCGCTCGTTACCGTGATACTGGTAGCGTAGCCCGACGTCAAGGAAGTGGACGGAAGAAAACAGCAACATCAGCAGAAATGGTTCGAAAAGTAAAGAAGCGACTTCATCGAAACCCGCGTCGCAGTGGGCGAAAAATGGCTGGTGAGCTGAAAATATTGCAAAATTCCATTCAGAAAATATTGAAAAATGAGCTCGGGGTAAAGCCATTGAATTTCCACAAAGTGCAAGAACGCAACAGAAAGAAAATATACTCAAAAGAGCTAAAGAGTGGTTTTCTCTGTCTCCGATGAGAAAACATTCGTTGTCCAGCAGTTTGTTAACAAACAAAATGATCGTGTTTACTTGCCAAAAAGGTCAGCTGAAAATGTGCACTTTCGGTTGGCCACCAGAACTCAAGCGCCCGCCATGGTGATGGTGTGGGCCGCCAAAACAGCCGATGGTCGCTCTCCGCTCGTATTAATCGACCGTGGCATTAGAATAAATGCCGAATATTATCGCGAAAATAATCTGGAGGGTGTATTAAAGCCTAGGGCACGCAAACATTTTGACCACAGACCTTGGACATTCCAACAGGACTCAGCACGCGGCACCCAAAAATGGTTACAAAATGAGGTTCCTCGCTTCATTTCCAGCGCACAATGGCCAACAAAATCTCCGGATAAAAATCCGTTAGACTATTGTGTCTAGAGTATTTTGGAAAACAAGGTTGGCACTAAAAAATACCAAAGCGCATCGCCGGGAATGGGCCAAAATACCGCAGAGCAACATTCGGGCAGCGTGTAACGGTTTCATTAGCCGCATGAAGGCCATAGTTCGTGCCAAAGGTGACCAACTCGAACAAATCTAAACTTATTCTAAAATTCGATCCTATTTCCGTTATTTGTTGCTTTCATTCAAAAAAAAAAAAAAAATAAAAAAATATGTAAAAATTATGTTGTTTGACTTTGTTGCAGTTTTTTTATCTCACCTATATAATACTTGTACTTCTTAAAAACATTTTTCGCAAAAATTGTTAAATCCTAAAACACCAGAGAAACGGTTGGTTGGTCAACAAAACTGTTGTTAATCCTGAACATTATGATTTAATGTTCATGATAGCAAATTATAACTATTTGACCAGAATTAATATACTATTCCATTTAAATGAATCTCCTCGCACCTGCCCATCCCTAAATGAATAACAAATTCATGTTTAATAGTCTAATAAATTCTTTATTATTTATAAACATTTCTTTTGCCAGGATTTCAAAATAAATCGAAAAGAAAGTTGATAAACACTAAATTGTTGTTGTTTTGCAAACTCGTGAGTAAATTAAAGTATGTTGTTTATTGCAGAAAATAATTTTGTGGATCAGTGGATGTAAGAAATGCCAATATATAAAAATAAATTCATTCTTTTGCAAAGGTGTTTGAACTTAACGGCCATGGCCAATGTAAAACGTGTATAACGGTCAGCACTGCAATGCTCAACAAAAAAAGATTTGTGAAATTAATTGTGGATTGTTATATTTATCTTAATTGTTTATTAGCCGTTCTTTTTCAAGTTGCAATCGCCAAACCAAAAAAAAAATTGAAATCAATTTCTTTGGAGAATGACGAGTTGCCGTGCATAATTGTCCGAAACTCGACAGCTGTTTTAGTTTAATTGTTTTTGTTTTAATTTTGAAATAATACCAGATATTGAGCTGTAATCTAGCTATAATTATGTATGACTAACCGGTTATTTCTTGCCTTAACTTGTTTAACTCCCCTAAGAAAGAAAAAAGCGTTTGGTTTGAAGTAAACGTTCTTAACATTGGCTTGAATTGACTTGGCTTGAAAATGCATCATTGATCGATCGTTTGAACATGTGGCAGGCGACGGACGTTTTTTCGTTTGCTTCGGCTCCAAATCCAAAAAGTCTTGAGACACGAAGAAAAACTATAAAACCGTTCGCCGGACAGGCATACAATTCAGTCTAATGTGCTTTCGAACGGTGTCAAGAGCCAGAACCGCAGTTCTCAATGTGCTGGTGTGTGTGTCGCGTACTTACATCGTCAGACAGTGTTAGTGCTAAGATTTTCCTTAACGAATATTCGAATGGATATTTAAACTTAAAATAAACCGCAATTGCCAGCATAAAACCATAAATTAAAGTGGAAACTAAAACAAACAAACAAAAAAGTTACAACAACAACACATTGTTAATTAACATTGCCAATTATCATTGTCAATTCTTACAAGCAAAAAAAGTAACAAAACACACACATATTTTGAAAACAAAAAACTAAATAAAATATGACTGTTAACAACAATCAGGGTCGTCGTGCATCGACGAAGGATGACACAAACGGTTTTGTCAATGTTGCATTTACCCACGACGAAAGATCGGGAGAAAATGTCATTCGACGTAAAAGTGGCAACTCCAACTCCCTTGAATTGGATAATGGCACAACACTGTCAACGAGTGCGGTTCCTGCTGTTAACAGCGCTGCAGCTCCCATCGATTTTGATGATATTTTACCAATGATTGGTGAATTTGGTAAATATCAGAAAATCCTGTTCATCTGCATGATACCGTTTGCCTTCTTTGTGGCTTTCATATATTTTTCGCAAATATTTTTGACTTTAATACCGGAACAACATTGGTGTAGTGTACCCGAATTGGAGAGTTTACCATTGGCGGAAAGGTAAATTGAAAAACCATTTATTTGTTTATTAGTTTTTTTGGAGTGGATTAATAAAAGGAACAATGTGTGTGTGTATGTGAATATGATTATTGTTTAAATGAAACTCCATTAATTTTGTAGCATTCGAATGGCTAATAGTGTTTGTTATTAAACAAGAAAACAATTCAATTTTGGAAAGAACAACAATTTGTTGTTGTTGTTGATTGAATTTGAAAACAAAAATGAAAGGTTAAGTGAATATGAAGTTAAGACAATGACTTGGCAACTGAATGTGTTTTTAAATTATTTTACCACAAATAATGATTTAAGAATTACGACAAAGGAATCACGATGATACAAATTTGAAATTCTCAAATAGTTGTAAACCACAATATAGTGTCATAATCTTCCAAAAACCTTTAAAGGACGCAAAATGTTTAACTTAAATATAAAGAACAAGAACCTATATTAATATCTTTATTATGCAGATAATAAGATTTCAGTGTTAATTTGTTAACAGATATTGCAAAAATACGTATCTTACCTACATTTAAAAAAACGCCAGGTATTTTAACTTGGTTTCGACTCAAAAGCCTGTAACACCTCGAAGGATAGGTCCAATACCCTGCCATCAGCGTTTCAATTATTTTTTTCCAAAATTGTGGATCAAAAATAAAATTTAGATAAAATATTGTATTGACACCACAATATAACTTAGCTTTTAGGGCTGAGAAGAAACCTTACAATTTTTAATGGTGATCAGGTTATATGTGCTGGGTGAAAAAAAAAAAAAAACGTGACTACTTTGTGAAGAGATAAAACATATTTCTGGTGAAATTAGTTTTTTAAGAAAAAGAAACCTTAATTCTTTTACATTGGAGCCAATTTTCTGTATATGTATCCAGATAACAGAGATATAGGCAGTTATGATTTAAAAGTAAAAAATTAAATATTTTCGCTTTTTTTTAATATTGATGCAAATATTTATTGGTATACAATGGAAATATAGATATCTTTTCTTTGGTGACTTTTATGAAATTTGATGAAGAATATTTTTGTTATTATGTTTTGTAGGAAATTTTTTGTATAAACTTCTTGTTTCGATTGAGGATTAAAATTTTCGACAAAAATTATCTGTAACATTGCCGAAAATGCTATATACCTAAAATCAACGGATTCCCAAAAAATCTTATTTTTATTAATTAAAAATTATTCAATACTGAACAGTTACGGTATCGACAATATTCTCAAAAAACACCAAGAAGTTTTATTTTCATTTTTACTCCAAGAAAATTCCAAGATTTTTTGTTAATTTTAAACCCTATGAAATTAGAATTGGTTCATTGAAATTAACGTACTACTTAATGAATTTTAAGCTTTCAAAATGATTCGACAACAAAATTATTAATTGATTTTAAGCTGATGATACATTGATAATCTTATTAATGGAAATAAAATTTATTATTCTTCCTATCATTTGTTTATTCGATTTACATATAATAAGAGCCAATATTACTATTTTAATTACTTTGTAATGTTAAAATTCAATTTTTATTTAATCAATTTGTGCCATTAATTGTTTAATGATTCCATTAGATTGTTGAATAAAAGAACATCGAATATTAGAGAGTCGTTAAGGGTATTCCCTTCCATGGTAGATTTCAGAAGGTAGTTATGCAATTATATGTTTACAATTTTTTTTCAAAATAATTCATTTGACAGCTATTTATTGTAAAAAAATTGTGTTTATAAATCCATTATATGCACAGAAATCAGAGATGGGAACCTGTTTTATCAGCAAAATTTGACAAGATAAATTATAGAAAAGACTTTACCTTCTTATGTTACCATCTTCCCTCCAGGAAAACAAACAAAATAGTGTATTTTAATGAATATAAACAAAATTCTCAAACTATATCCGTATATATGTTATTTTCATTTAAATATGTGTTTTCCTTTTTTATTTGAATAGTTAATTACATATTAAAAAATTGTTTATGCCACTTATAAACCACGCCATTAACTTATTTCAATAATTATAGTTTGGCTACATATTATAATTATTATTGATTCGTGAAGATTCAACTATTAACAAATTAAAAAAAAAAAACATATAAAATTATTAATGTTTTTTTCGCAACTTTAGGGATTGACAAAAAGTGAGGGAACAATTTTTCCTCTAATAAAATGATGCTTCAAACGATATAGTAAAATAATTTTTTTATTTTTCTTTTCTTTAAAATTCAAATGGAAAAAGTTAACAAAATAATATTTATATAAAAAATATTTAGATAATGGTTTATCAAATATTTGTATGAATGTATTAAGTGTGTCTACCAAGCTAACATATTATTACGAATTCGCCCCAATCACTACTTAAATTTCCAATTCTGATCCCGAATTAATTCCGATTCCGGTACAAAAGTTGTATGGACGTGAATCGTAATGTGACAATTTTTAAAAGAAATTTAGAGAAGTCGACATAATTTCGAACAAAAAATAATTAGAAATCGTAGTCCTCGAAAAAATTGTAAGATTGGTGGTTAGAACAAACATTTTAACAATTGTTGCAAATTTTTACTGGAGGTCATCTGTTACCACAAAAGTTATGCAAAAGTGAGCGCTTCGAGAAATAAATAGAGATTCTGTATTGAGAGTTTGAACACTCTTGGCGTACAAATTTCCTCTTGCTATCGCTTGCGATTCTTCAGTTTCTCCTTATGGTGATTTAAATTTTGGGGCAAGCATTTTTATAGCATCTTTATTTTGGTTATTGTTTTGTTTTTCGGCTGATTTTTATACCCTCCATCATACATACTATGGATGGTGTATTAAGTTCGTTATTCCGTTTGTAACTCATCAAAATAATAGTCTGAGACATAACAAAGTGTATATATTCTTGAACAGCGTAAAATTCTAAGACGATTTAGCCATGCCTGTTTAGCCCCGTCTGTCCGTTTGTTGTAATCACGCTAGAGTCAAAGCGAATAGAGAATTTGTCTGCAGGCAGGTCAAGTTTGAAGATGGGCTATATCGGCCCGCGATATCGTATATCCCCCATTTAACGGTACCTCCCGATATTCGGTATTTTGATGATTGTAGCCACATTTTTCAGTGAAATTGTCTAAAAATCCACAAAAGGAGTTCCTTCTAAGCACTTTACTCCCTGGAAGAGAAATGTCTATATAGGTCCACGTCTTCGTATAGACACCACAATATCGTATAGCCCACATACAACGGTACCACCAGATATTCGATTTTTGACGATTTTACGGACATTATTAGTTGTTTCAAATTTCATATTTAGAGTTCGTAATGGAAACTACAGTCCATGACAGAAAATTGTCTATCCATGTCTTGCTATAGGCCCCATATATCAGTACCTCACTATAATCGGTATTTTGACGATTTTATCTACAATATTCACCGGATGTTTTTAAGTTTGGTATTTGAATATTGTAATGGTTTATGACAAAAGTTGCCTATGCAGGTCCACGTCTTCGTATAGACACCAATATAAAGGCTTTATTCGGTATTTTTAAGATTTTAACAGAATTTTTTAAGGGTTTATTTATTATTTTATTTTTTTTTTTAATTTCAATATTCCTTCCAAATCTTGGAGGGTATTCAAAATACGGCCCGGCCAAACATACTGCTTTTTTACTTGTTATTTTTGGGTGTTTCATTTGTTTTCACGGTCAAATTGATTTGACAAGATGCTTGCTTGAAGTTTTTGAGGGGATTCCATCTGTTAACTTTTCATTTTTTTTTTTTGCAAAAGATAATAAAACTATCTTATTTTTATCAAAGAAAAACTGCTGGAAAATTCCAGCAGGAAAAGTAACCAGACAAACCCATTATTTTTTTGCATAACACTTGAAACTGCGCTTTTCCGATTTTAAGATAAAGTGAAACTTTTTTGAAGGAATGAATAATCGCTTACCCACAACTCTCGTGTTACAAAGATTTCATTTGGCTGAGATTTAATTTTAGAATTGTTCTGCACACAAAAAGCACCGACATTCCATGCTGCAAGAGAAAGTTCAATACGTATTTTCCACATGAAATACCTTGGGTAAAAATATAACTTATTCGGGGTTATCGACATGTCATAAATTTTCATTAATTAGCAGCCATCTGAACAAGCTAACATCTGCTCGCAGTGATTGCCGCTAATATCGCCCACAATTGCATTATATACTTACTACTACGTTAAATAATTTTGGGCTCCGGGTGTGTAACGTTTATGTGACGATATTTTTAGTAATTTATCAAAGAATTTTGTTGAGAACATGAAATTTAATTACATTACGATTCATTTCTTTATTTAAAGTTATTTATTATATATAACTGATACGATAATTGAAGTTTATACGATGCAAAATATTTTTGTTCCGAAAAAATAAAGGTCCTTTTTCTGTATAACAATACCAAAACGAATATGAACCAGAATACCGTTTCGGTTCGATGAAAATCTCATTTGGATTGGTGTTTTCTTTCTCATTTATATTCGTATCGTCATAGAGAATCAGAACCATAATTTCTAAGGTATATATGTACTCTTACTATAAGTATAACCTATTTCTTGTACTACATGGAATGACAAATTTTTTCTATCCAGCTCATAGAAATATGTAGAACATATTAAATAAAAACGAAAGTACAGATTTGTTGATCTGTTTCTAGCTAGCTCTATATTTCCATTATTTTAAGCATTTGTGGAGCCAATGTAAGAACATTAGATGAATTGAATCTTACCTAAAACATAGTCTATCATCAAATATCATTTTACGCATACACATTTCTGACATGTTTTAAAAAATATTTTAGAATGAAGCAAATTTCAAGCCAACTTGATGATTTTTAAATGGCATATATCTTGTTTTTACATCTTAAATTAGTCATAAAATATACATGTATATGTATGTCAGCCAAACATTATTCTCTTAGCTAGACATAATTTGAATATGCATATAATTCACTTAACAAAGAGGAAGTTCATATAAAAGCTAGTTTTATAAAATTATATTCAGTTTCTCCCATAATTAAAAACCGAAACATTGACACATTAATTTATCTACAAATAAGCACGACATATTACCACTTGTTAATATTATTTTATTATTGTTTCTTTAATGGCAGTTTCTGCAGTGCTTTATTGCCGCCTTTGGGAATGGGCATATTAAATTTGTTATTTCCCATACTAAATACAATTTGGAGACTACATAACGTATAAGCATATGGTTATTGTTTCTATTTATCAAACTGTAGGTTAATTAACCTACATATATCTCACAAAACCGCTTACACCAGATTCAGTCTATAGTCAATGCACCAATTACATTTTCTGTTATTTAACAGCAACAGCTTTCTATCATCCCAAAAACCCCTATTTGGTATAATTTCCAGGGCTACAGTTCAATTTTAAATATTTTCAAAGTTTTACATTTTTCTCATGGTAAAGGGTATAAAACGTTCTATCTGATATTGGTTAATGCCTTCTTTACTTGTTTGAGCTTCACGTAACTTTTTTTCGAAAACGAATGTTTGTGTGTAATGGCCTTCATTAATGGCTAAAAGAAATACCCACAAAGTGCTATTGTTAGAATCGTGGCTAGATTTTAATTTAATGTAGACGAAGAACAAAGGTAATCATAAAACAGAACTTAACAAATTGTTTACAATATGTATTGTTTAAATAACATAATTGCCTTAATATGGTACAGTTAGAATTACAAAAGAACATTTGTTTTTGGTTGTTTTATTTAAACTTGACATTTAAAAGAAGCCATTGTAACGTGGTTTTCTCGACGGCTGAGGTAAGCTCAGCTGTACCCAGGGTCGCCATAAGGACCCACTAAACCTTATGAAATAATAAGAGTAGATTTCTCCCTTTCCTGGGGGTAAATATCGGATGTTTTATTGATCTTTAATTCTAGATTACAATCTACTCGGGTTGAAATACGATAAGATAAGTATTGAATATAGGATGGCAAATGGACTTCGGATATGTTCGTGACTCCAAGGTGATGTTGCTTAATTGGTGATCGGGGATTCGTGAACAATCGGGAGTGATGATGTCGGGTGTACGCAATGAGTACTCGGGTGGTTGATGTGAGTGTGGCTAGTCGACGATCGGATACTCGGGGATGACCGTCGGAGGTTGATTGTGAAGAAGATAGGGAATTACGATGTTGCGTTCGGGTGACGCTTGCGTTGACGATTTGAAGGTAATCGGGAACTTGTGGTCGTCGGTCGTTGACGATCAGATTATTACGATGATTGCGTTCGGACGATGCGGTCTGTTGACGATTTGACGGTAATCGGGAACTTGTGTTCGTTGATGATTTGAAGGTAATCGGGACTTGTGGTCGTCGGTTGTCGACGATCAGGAATTATGATGATTGTGTTCGGGTGATGCGGTCTGTTGACGATTTGACGGTAATCGGGAACTTGTGTTCGTTGACGATTTGAAGGTAATCGGGAACTTGTGGTCGTCGGTTGTCGACGATCAGGAATTATGATGATTGTGTTCGGGTGATGCGGTCTGTTGACGATTTGACGGTAATCGGGAACTTGTGTTCGTTGACGATTTGGAGGTAATCGGGAACTTGTGGTCGTCGGTTGTCGACGATCAGGAATTATGATGATTGTGTTCGGGTGATGCGGTCTGTTGACGATTTGATGGTAATCGGGAACTTGTGTTCGTTGACGATTTGAAGGTAATCGGGAACTTGTGGTCGTCGGTTGTCGACGATCAGGAATTATGATGATTGTGTTCGGGTGATGCGGTCTGTTGACGATTTGATGGTAATCGGGAACTTGTGTTCGTTGACGATTTGAAGGTAATCGGGAACTTGTGGTCGTCGGTTGTCGACGATCAGGAATTATGATGATTGTGTTCGGGTGAGGCGGTCTGTTGACGATTTGACGGTAATCGGGAACTTGTGTTCGTTGACGATTTGAAGGTAATCGGGAACTTGTGGTCGTCGGTTGTCGACGATCAGGAATTATGATGATTAGATTGACATTTGTACTGGTTGGGCAGCTCGTTGAGGGTAGATTCGGCAACCGATGCGTTCGTGTAGATGGTTCGGGGTTCGTTCGTGTTCGACAGCTCGTTGAAGGTAGATTCGGCAACCGATGCGTTCGTGTAGATGGTTCGGGGCTCGTTCGTGTTCGACAGCTCGTTGAGGGTAGATTCGGCAACCGATGCGTTCGTGTAGATGGTTCGGGGCTCGTTCGTGTTTGACAGCTCGTTGAGGGTAGATTCGGCAACCGATGCGTTCGTGTAGATGGTTCGGGGCTCGTTCGTCAGCTCGGGTTTCTGTTATTCGGGTCGGCTACAGGGGCGAGGTAACTAGCCTAGCTACGATTCTCTAACTACGTCTACTCCACTACCAACGTTTGACTATAATACGGAACAGCGAGCCGAAACTCCTGTGGAACAGCGAGCCGAAGCTCCTGTGGAACAGCGAACCGAAGTTCCTGTGGAACAGCGAACCGAAGTTCCTGTGGAACAGCGAGCCGAAACTCCTGTGGAACAGCGAGCCGAAGCTCCTGTGGAACAGCGAGCCGAAACTCCTGTGGAACAGCGAACCGAAGTTCCTGTGGAACAGCGAGCCGAAGCTCCTGTGGAACAGCGAACCGAAGTTCCTGTGGAACAGCGAGCCGAAGCTCCTGTGGAACAGCGAGCCGAAACTCCTGTGGAACAGCGAGCCGAAGCTCCTGTGGAACAGCGAGCCGAAACTCCTGTGGAACAGCGAACCGAAGTTCCTGTGGAACAGCGAGCCGAAGCTCCTGTGGAACAGCGAACCGAAGTTCCTGTGGAACAGCGAACCGAAGTTCCTGTGGAACAGCGAACCGAAGTTCCTGTGGAACAGCGAGCCGAAGCTCCTGTGGAACAGCGAGCCGAAACTCCTGTGGAACAGCGAACCGAAGTTCCTGTGGAACAGCGAGCCGAAGCTCCTGTGGAACAGCGAACCGAAGTTCCTGTGGAACAGCGAGCCGAAACTCCTGTGGAACAGCGAACCGAAGTTCCTGTGGAACAGCGAGCCGAAGCTCCTGTGGAACAGCGAGCCGAAACTCCTGTGTAAATGAATTACCAGCCACTCAAATTAATGAGAGCCAGTCTTGGAAAAAGTATTCCCGACTAACGCTTTTATTAGTCGGAGGACGACCGATGATCTTTAGAAAAATCACTAGCTACCCTTTGGCAAGCTCCTGCAGTAGCGAGCCTCCCTTTATCGCACCTCAAACCGAACACTATATGTGACCGGTTCTACCAAGTCATTGCGAATTTTTAGCCTTACGCTGTGAGCAGCACACCACCGAAAACTACTTTGTTCACCACGCGCCCAATGAATGCTGCGTTTGTTGGCTAGTGCTGTTGTCGCCTTGTTGACTGCGTATGACCGAGTCGTGTGTGCATGGTGGTGGTGGTTGGTTGGTGCAGTTAGCGTCGCACTTGCAGTGGCCGCTGTAGTTGTTCTCATTGTGTAATAGGTGCGTTTGTTTGTTCGTATAAATGTACGTGATGAAATCAGCATGTTACATCCCCCCCCTGCTTGGGAAAGTGATGCTTCACGGAGATAGTCGTGCTGTTTCGGCCGGGTTATATGATAATATGCTGGTGCTGCAGGCTGTGCAGCCTTGGTCGTCTTTCCTTGTTGATATTTCGGCAAAAGGTCTCTAGTTGCTGGTTCAATTGCCATTTGCCTCTTCGATAAACTTGCCGGCGGAGACACCGATTTTGTTTTTGCGGTAATTCGCTGTCTTGATTCCGGGGGTTTGCATGTTTTAGTGGGCGACTGGACTGGAACTTTTAAAGGTTTAGCCTTCGTAAAATCCGTGTTGGTGACTAATTTGGTATGAACTCGGAAGGATCGTCGAACTCTGGTACGGAAACCGTTGTAGTTTTCATAGGCTCGTCGGTGAGGTATTACATGATTCTCGGGTAACTGGTTCTTCTTTTGGGGCGACAGCACCCAGTCCGATATGCTGTGCAGGTAATGCAGACCGGAGCGATCAGTAATCGCTGCCTTGGGGACGACCTTCCCGTCTAAGACGATATCCAGACCTCTTTTCAGCAGGAAATCCATCCCTAGAACTACAGGTTCGGCAAGCGTCGGTAGTACTGTCGCCTCTATGGAGGTGGCTTGGTCGTTGAAGACAATCGACACCGGGTATACCCTTCCACAGGTGGCCATTTGTTGGTCAGCAAGCTGTACTCTTCGGGTTATCGTGATCGGTTTAACCCTTTTCGTGTCCAACCACTTGCCGACTGAGCTATCGATGTAGGTAAGCGAAGCTCCGGTATCTACGAGAGCCCACAAACCTTTCCCATTGAGGAAGATCCAAATGTAATATCTCCCATGATGATCGGTGTCGATGGTCGGGTTCGCTCGGCACTCGCAGTTTCGGGATAGTATACCCTCCTTGCCACAATGGGAGCAAAACAATTTTCCCTTTTCTTGGCACTGGTAGCGTATATGGCCCTTCTTTTTGCAACGCCAACAATGCGTTGACCTATTATATCCTCCCGAGGTCTGCGATACCATGTGAGACGTATGTGGACGTTCGACACGAGCCTCGTCCTTCTTCAACAGCTCGAAATCGTCCACCAGAGACATCAATTCGTCCAAAGTCTGAAAGTCACTCCGACGAACGTAATGACGGTATTCGGGTCGAAGGCCGTCGTAAATCCGATCCAGGTGGTCCACTTGTCGTAGGGTAGGATGTTGCTTTGCCATGGTTAGCATTTGAAGAACAAAATCCTTGGCCTTCTCCCGATTGAATTGTCGCCTGTTATAAAACGAGTGTTCAAGTTGTGTTAAATGACGTTTTGACAAGAAAAATTTTTCGGCCTCTATTCGGAACGACTTCCAGGTCGTGATATCGCCTTTCTTGACTCTATACCATTTAAGCGCGTTACCTTCCAGGATGCAGGGCAGGGTGGATACGAGTCGGTCGTGGGGTATTCGGTAGCACTCGGCCAATTCCTCTAGTCTTTCCAAAAACTCGGACAAATCTCCCTCGCCTGTAAATTTTAAGTTCCATCGCTGTACCATACTCATGGTCTCGGAATCACAACTCTCCCGGCGAGGAGGTCGCTCGGGAATCTGCAAACACTCTTGAGTGACGACTGTTTTTTCTTCTGCCTGGAGCTCATTTTCCAAGTCACGTAATAAATTCTCGGTCGAACTCCTCAGTCGCTTTTTTCTCACGAAGTCCGCCAGTTGCCTCCTCAGGTGCTCGACCGTATATCCCTCTGTTTGTATAGCTGCCGCCTGGCATTGCTCTATCAGTTGTTCTTTCTTCAGCAGATAAATCCATCCTAGGGATTCGGGTTTCAATTTCTTATCGTATTTCTGACTTGACTCGTCCTCGGTGGCGGATGTTTCGGTTTTGCCGCGATGCGATTTCGAATCAGGTCCCTGCTCGGGCGCCATTTGTAACGTGGTTTTCTCGACGGCTGAGGTAAGCTCAGCTGTACCCAGGGTCGCCATAAGGACCCACTAAACCTTATGAAATAATAAGAGTAGATTTCTCCCTTTCCTGGGGGTAAATATCGGATGTTTTATTGATCTTTAATTCTAGATTACAATCTACTCGGGTTGAAATACGATAAGATAAGTATTGAATATAGGATGGCAAATGGACTTCGGATATGTTCGTGACTCCAAGGTGATGTTGCTTAATTGGTGATCGGGGATTCGTGAACAATCGGGAGTGATGATGTCGGGTGTACGCAATGAGTACTCGGGTGGTTGATGTGAGTGTGGCTAGTCGACGATCGGATACTCGGGGATGACCGTCGGAGGTTGATTGTGAAGAAGATAGGGAATTACGATGTTGCGTTCGGGTGACGCTTGCGTTGACGATTTGAAGGTAATCGGGAACTTGTGGTCGTCGGTCGTTGACGATCAGATTATTACGATGATTGCGTTCGGACGATGCGGTCTGTTGACGATTTGACGGTAATCGGGAACTTGTGTTCGTTGATGATTTGAAGGTAATCGGGACTTGTGGTCGTCGGTTGTCGACGATCAGGAATTATGATGATTGTGTTCGGGTGATGCGGTCTGTTGACGATTTGACGGTAATCGGGAACTTGTGTTCGTTGACGATTTGAAGGTAATCGGGAACTTGTGGTCGTCGGTTGTCGACGATCAGGAATTATGATGATTGTGTTCGGGTGATGCGGTCTGTTGACGATTTGACGGTAATCGGGAACTTGTGTTCGTTGACGATTTGGAGGTAATCGGGAACTTGTGGTCGTCGGTTGTCGACGATCAGGAATTATGATGATTGTGTTCGGGTGATGCGGTCTGTTGACGATTTGATGGTAATCGGGAACTTGTGTTCGTTGACGATTTGAAGGTAATCGGGAACTTGTGGTCGTCGGTTGTCGACGATCAGGAATTATGATGATTGTGTTCGGGTGATGCGGTCTGTTGACGATTTGATGGTAATCGGGAACTTGTGTTCGTTGACGATTTGAAGGTAATCGGGAACTTGTGGTCGTCGGTTGTCGACGATCAGGAATTATGATGATTGTGTTCGGGTGAGGCGGTCTGTTGACGATTTGACGGTAATCGGGAACTTGTGTTCGTTGACGATTTGAAGGTAATCGGGAACTTGTGGTCGTCGGTTGTCGACGATCAGGAATTATGATGATTAGATTGACATTTGTACTGGTTGGGCAGCTCGTTGAGGGTAGATTCGGCAACCGATGCGTTCGTGTAGATGGTTCGGGGTTCGTTCGTGTTCGACAGCTCGTTGAAGGTAGATTCGGCAACCGATGCGTTCGTGTAGATGGTTCGGGGCTCGTTCGTGTTCGACAGCTCGTTGAGGGTAGATTCGGCAACCGATGCGTTCGTGTAGATGGTTCGGGGCTCGTTCGTGTTTGACAGCTCGTTGAGGGTAGATTCGGCAACCGATGCGTTCGTGTAGATGGTTCGGGGCTCGTTCGTCAGCTCGGGTTTCTGTTATTCGGGTCGGCTACAGGGGCGAGGTAACTAGCCTAGCTACGATTCTCTAACTACGTCTACTCCACTACCAACGTTTGACTATAATACGGAACAGCGAGCCGAAACTCCTGTGGAACAGCGAGCCGAAGCTCCTGTGGAACAGCGAACCGAAGTTCCTGTGGAACAGCGAACCGAAGTTCCTGTGGAACAGCGAGCCGAAACTCCTGTGGAACAGCGAGCCGAAGCTCCTGTGGAACAGCGAGCCGAAACTCCTGTGGAACAGCGAACCGAAGTTCCTGTGGAACAGCGAGCCGAAGCTCCTGTGGAACAGCGAACCGAAGTTCCTGTGGAACAGCGAGCCGAAGCTCCTGTGGAACAGCGAGCCGAAACTCCTGTGGAACAGCGAGCCGAAGCTCCTGTGGAACAGCGAGCCGAAACTCCTGTGGAACAGCGAACCGAAGTTCCTGTGGAACAGCGAGCCGAAGCTCCTGTGGAACAGCGAACCGAAGTTCCTGTGGAACAGCGAACCGAAGTTCCTGTGGAACAGCGAACCGAAGTTCCTGTGGAACAGCGAGCCGAAGCTCCTGTGGAACAGCGAGCCGAAACTCCTGTGGAACAGCGAACCGAAGTTCCTGTGGAACAGCGAGCCGAAGCTCCTGTGGAACAGCGAACCGAAGTTCCTGTGGAACAGCGAGCCGAAACTCCTGTGGAACAGCGAACCGAAGTTCCTGTGGAACAGCGAGCCGAAGCTCCTGTGGAACAGCGAGCCGAAACTCCTGTGTAAATGAATTACCAGCCACTCAAATTAATGAGAGCCAGTCTTGGAAAAAGTATTCCCGACTAACGCTTTTATTAGTCGGAGGACGACCGATGATCTTTAGAAAAATCACTAGCTACCCTTTGGCAAGCTCCTGCAGTAGCGAGCCTCCCTTTATCGCACCTCAAACCGAACACTATATGTGACCGGTTCTACCAAGTCATTGCGAATTTTTAGCCTTACGCTGTGAGCAGCACACCACCGAAAACTACTTTGTTCACCACGCGCCCAATGAATGCTGCGTTTGTTGGCTAGTGCTGTTGTCGCCTTGTTGACTGCGTATGACCGAGTCGTGTGTGCATGGTGGTGGTGGTTGGTTGGTGCAGTTAGCGTCGCACTTGCAGTGGCCGCTGTAGTTGTTCTCATTGTGTAATAGGTGCGTTTGTTTGTTCGTATAAATGTACGTGATGAAATCAGCATGTTACACCATTGGAAATAATTTTATTTGGTTTTCAGCGTTTTTTCTTTAAATAAAACTGAAAATTTAATTCCCAAATCTGACATTAATGAAATTCAAGAAAAGTTATTATTTCTTGAATTTAAATCGACAGCCTTGAGTTCAGTGTTATGTATATTTTAAAGCTGTGCCAATTTATGCACAACCTCCACCTCATTATAACGCCCCATCGAAGAACAGTAATTGTCTCCCTTGTCAAATTCTACAGCTTGTACGTTCAAAACACGCAAATATGCCATGCATGCCAGTGACACTTGGGAATTTTATAGGCGATTATATTTTATTGTTGTTTAATTAAACTCAAACAGAAAAAAAAAGAGAATTAAAACTACTTCAAATCAATGTTTTAGATTTAACTAGTATTAGCAGCAACTCTTATTACATTTTCAAGATACCAGTTAATGTCTTTAAATAGTCAGTTTCCATTGACAACAGCAAGGTCTGGCCAAGAAATGTGTGGTTGTTTGACAGAGAACTTCATTCCACAATGTTAGTGTGTCGGCAAACATGCATTAATGTAAAGTCTTGTAAGTAGAGATATTAAAACCGATAATAATATGTAACCGGCTGAACAGTTCTCTACAAGAGTATCGAAATTGAAATGTACATTTTGAGCCCGGGAATTTTAAAATATTTTGGATGTGACGAAGTGAAATCGGAAAAATAGTTTAATTTGTAAAACTCTATTAAATTTTACACTCCAAATAATAATAAATGTAGACCAAAAAATTAGCTGGAATCCGATTGAAAGTTATTAGGTCTGTGTGGTTGAATTGACAATTTCAATTCAAAAATATTGTGTTATCAGTGAAATAAACAAGAAAAAAGCAGAAAGTTCGGCCGGGTCGATCTTTGAATATCCTCCACCACGAATTTGGCAATTTTCAAAAAAAAATAAAATCCGTTAAAAATTCTGTTAAAATCCTAAAAATACCGAATGTAGCCTTCATATTATGGTCTACGGTCTACGTCATAAGCCATTACAATATTTAAATGCGAAACTTGAATTAAAAATTCGGTGAATAATTTAGCTATAATCATCAAAATACAGAATACAGGGAGATACACCATTATATGTTGGCTATACCAAAATGTGGACCTGCACAGACAATTTTCTGATATAGGCTGAAGAATCCATTACGAACTTCAAATAGCAAATTTAAAACAATTCCGGTGAATGATGTCGCTTAAATCACCAAAATACTGAAAATATGAAGGTACCGTTATATGGGGGCTATAAAAAGACGTGGATCTGCACAGACAATTTTCTGTCTTAGGCTGTAGTATCAATTTCGAACTTCAAATACGAAATTTGACACAATTTCGGTGAATAATTTCGCTAAAATAATCAAAATATCGAATATCGCGAGGGACCGTTATATGTGGGCTATACGAAGACGTGGACCTGCACAGACAATTTTCTGTCATAGGCTGTAGTATCCATTTCGAACTTCAAACACGAAATTTAAAACAATTCTGATGTATAATGTCGCTAAAATCATAAAAATACCGAATATCGCGAGGCACCGTTATATGGGGGCTATACCAAAACGTGGACTTACATGGCCCATTTTCAATACCAAAAGACCTTATTTTCATTTACATTAGAGTACTTGATAGCTGAAGGGCTTGCTTTTCACCAATGTCGTCATATAAACCATAATTCGAACCTAAAAAAGAGTATTTTACGAATTATAAAGAGAATTCTAGAATTAACATTGAATTTCAAACGAAGTGTTACGAATTAAAAATAAAATGTTTCAAATTAGATTCGAAAAAGATAACGTAAATTTTTATCGTAAAACATATTCTAGAAGTTTTGTCCTTGTACAACTCCATTTTCACGGTGATTCCACAACGATTTTCCAGCCCATACATATATCCAAATCGGACCTTGATCCCTAGTTTCCATTCAAAATCCTAAGATTTTGCTCATTATTCTTGCAAAATTGCAACCCTCAGATTGACAAGAAATTTTAAAAATACAAAAAAAAAATTCTCAGAAAATACTGATTTACATTTACTTAGCAACCATTAATAACTGCTTTGATAACCAATTGTTCAAAAAACCTATAATCCGGGTTGAAACAACATTTATGTCAATAATAAAAATTCTCATAATAATCTTTTATACATTAGTGTAAGCAACTCTAATTCTTTCTAAGATTATTTATTGTTTAAAAAATGCTGTTGACCAGACGGACAGACAGACAGACAGACACAAGTAAGGTGCAAAAATTTATGGATGATTGAATGAATAGTTGAATGTAGAGAGTTAGTTGGTGATTGTTTCAAAACTATGTACACCATTTATACACATACATATACACGTACATCATCATACTGAAACTACAAGTAAATATACATAGACATTATTATAACAAAACTCTTTTGTATCAAGGACATGTTATTGACCGAAGCTAATTGTTTTGAGAAATCTAATCTTTCAAATTGAAGTTGTGTATTATCAAACAAATGTGAATATGAACAATGTTCCTATACATATACACACACACCTATGTGTGTATGTAGATGTACGCTTTGGGTGGCAAATTATAATTTAAATAACTATACAATTTTGCACTTTTTTCAGAAGGCTCTCTTGGTGTATTTTAATTGAATTTGAAATTTATGGAAAACAAAATAGCATTTCCTGTTTGGCAAAAATTTCATAATTTTATATCAATATAATGTTAATTATTATGCATAAAATATTAGTGATAATTAATTATGTTCTTTTTTCTCTGTTTAGACTTGCTCTTTCCATACCACGCATGGACAATGGCGACTACGACAACTGCCTAATGTATAATGTCAATTATACGGATCTGCTGGCTAAGGGCATACGAAAGGCAGATCCCAAATGGCCAACGGTGGGTTGTATGCATGGTTGGTCCTATAACTTCACCGAAATCCCCTACACAACTGTGGCAACGGAAGAGAATTGGGTGTGTGACAATGACACTCTGCCCACATACGCTCAGTCGATATTTTTTCTTGGTGCCATAGTTGGAGGTCTTCTGTTTGGTTGGATTGCTGATAAATTTGGACGTATTCCATCGTTGATTGGCTGCAATCTGGTTGGGTTTGCAGCGGGTGTAGCCACAGCCTTCATTTCTAAATTTTGGCAATTCGCCATTATGCGATTTTTTGTGGGATTTGCCTTCGACAATTGTTTTACCATGATGTATATTTTAGGTAAGAATGACAAGAACAATCCAAACTATAATTTATATTATTTATGAAATGGAGATACGTTGAGATAGATAAACAAGTAAAAAAGCAGCTAAGTTTGGCCGGCTGAACTTTCAATACCCTCCACCATTTTGAAGGAAATTGAAAATTAAAAAAAAAATCCGAGAACTACCACTTAAATGAAAACCGTTATATGGGGACTATACGAAGACATGGACCTGCATACGAATTTTTTTTTTGCCATAAGTTGAAGTACCCATTAAGATCTTTCAATACGAAATTTGAAACGATTCCGGTGAATAATGTTGCTGAATTCGTCAAAATACCGACTATCGGGAGGTACCGTTATATGGGGGCTATACGAAGACGTGGACCTGCGTATAAAAATTGTTGTCATAGGCTTTAGTACCCATTATGAACTTCAAATACGAAATTCGAAATAATTCCGGTAAATAATGTCGCTAAAATCATGAAAATACCGAATATCGGTAGGTACCGTTATAAAGGGGCTTTACGAAGATTTGGACTTACATACAAAAATTATTTTCATAGGCTGTAGTACCCATTACGAACTTCAAATACGGAATTTTAAATAATTCCGGTAAGTAATGTTGCTAAAATCATTGAATATATCGAAAATCGGGAGGTACCGTTATATGGGGGTATACGAAAACATGGACCGACAAGGCCCATTTACGAACTTAACATGCCTAGTGGTAACTATGCATGTATGCAAAATTTTAGCCTTCCTGTTGAAGATCTTTTGACCACAGATCTAATAATTGTATTTTATCTGTCGAAGATATATTAAGTGTATTCTATTATTAGAAGATATGCTAAATGTCTTCTATATATTAAAGACCTATTAACAAACTTCGAACTATAAAAGACGTATTAATGGTCCTGTGATTATATAATACCTGCTAAATCTATTCTATCTACAGAAACTCCGTAGAAGGCTTTCTCTCTATTAAAGATTTTCTTTCATACAAGACCTGTTGGAAGCTTTTTTATATAGAAATCTTGTATAAAGTCCTTTATCTACAGTAGACCCGTCAAGAGTCTGGCTCTTTGAAAATTGCTGGTAGTTTTATATAGAAATTCTGTTTTCTCATACAAAAGATCTGTTTTCTTAAACAAAAGCTTTCTATAAAAATAACCCATTGCAAATATAATTCAAAATTTAATAAGGCTTTTAAAGCTTTGCTATCTAAATAAAACGTAAAATATTTATGAAAAAAATCTTTTTTTACAGTTTTGGAATACGTTGGTCCACGTTATCGCACATTTGTAGCTAATATGTCTATAGCAATATTCTTTACAATGGCAGCATGTATGTTACCCTGGATCGCCTACTATTTAGCAAATTGGAGGATTTTGGCTGTTGTTACTTCAGCTCCACTATTGCTGGCTGTGTTTACACCTCTTGTAGTACCCGAGTCCGCAAGGTTTGTCCCCATAATTGTATTAACCCTATACACATTTTATCATTTTAACATTTTCAATATTCTTGCAGATGGTTGGTTTCCCAGGGCAAAGTGGACAAGGCTGTATCTATTTTGAAGAAATTGGAAAAGGTTAATGGAAAACACATTTCTCCCGAGACATATCAAAATTTCACCGATAGTTGTTTGAAACTCCGCCAAGAGGAGACAACCAATCAGTCGCATTCCATAATGGACTTATTCAAGACCCCACGCCTAAGACGCACCACAATATTACTTATTATTATTTGGATGGCTATTTCCTTGGTGTTTGATGGCCACGTACGTAATGTGGGTTCTTTAGGATTGGATATCTTCTTTACATTTACCGTTGCCAGTTTCACTGAATTCCCAGCTGATACGTTATTGACTCTAACACTGGATCGCTTTGGTCGTAGATGGTTGGCTTGTGGAAGTATGGTCTTGAGTGGTATATTCAGTCTTTTGGCCACAATTGCCCCAGTGGGGGTTTATTCGGCAAGTTTGGCCATTGTTGGACGGTTCTTTGTAAACATATCCTACAATATTGGTCTGCAATATGCTGCTGAAATTCTACCTACGGTGGTAAGAGCTCAGGGAGTTGCATTTATACATATAATGGGTTATGTGGCCTCAATTATTGCCCCATTTGTTGTCTACCTCACATATATCTCACCCATGTTACCCTTGATCATTTTGGGTATTTTGGGAATAGCCGGTGGTCTTTTATCTCTGTTGCTGCCAGAAACTTTAGACCATGATCTACCTCAAACCTTGAGTGATGGCGAGGAGTTTGGACGTGGCCAAAGCATATGGGATTTCCCATGTCTGGCCAAGAAAATTGATGAATCCAACGATCTTGAAGTAAGAAGTCCACACTTTGTTCGCTCCACACAAAGTGGTGCCTCATTGCGCGCCTCCACAGGTGGTGAACTAAGATCCAGCATTTTACAACGTTCCACCAGATCTCGTTATACGTCAAAATTGTAAATAAAAATGTGAATAGGAATTAATTAATGACAACATTCTCCGCATAACGGAGCAAGGTTATGATTTACGACATCCAATAAACATAAATACTAATTAAATCTAGATGCATACATGTATGTACGATCGGAGTAATGTGAAACACCTGGCGTCAATAGGAAGCTTTCGTTGGACAAGTAAATAAATGCATTGCGGCCGATATATTAGTGTCAACTAATTGCATTTCTACAATAAAAGTCAACGCTAATCACCACACGCATTGTCAATAAGCTTTTAAGTGGTTTACTCTTCAGCATTGTTCATTTGATGTATAGATATAATTACGTGTATAAAATAAGAATAGAAAGTAACGTGTTATATATCGATTTGTGTTTAATCATATTCATTATTAAGGTTTTAGAATCGCTCTGATAGCATCAGATCTCTTTAATAATGAAAAAGATCCAAGTTGAGCGACATATTACAGAAAGTATTTTATTAACTTGAAATTTAGCATAATCTCTTGCATGAGAAATTTACCCACAATTGACGGAAACAATAAATCCAACTTAATTTACGGATATTAGTAAAGGCATTTAAAAGTGACATACATATGTGACAACCACTGTAATTGTATATTTTATAGTTATTACAAGAATATATTTCTAATGTATATTTATTAATTGTACCTGCCCAGTCTATCGTTTATATCATTTGATATAGGCGCAATAGATGAATGGAATGACCATTGAGCTAAACACAATATCATCTCTGGTAAACTCTGTACAATTGTGATATTAGTATTATTGTAAATTTAAATTTTTTTAAGCATTTAAAATTGAAATATGTTTATTTTAACAAATCAATTATATTTTTACTAAATATAAATTATAAATAGACAAAACTTTATATTCAAAATTGTTTTCAATAAACATTTTACTTTAATAAACAAGGCTTTAACAGAGAACATTACCTGTTCATTTTTATGGATTCCGTCATGTGATAAAGGGTATATTAAGTTTTTTATCTATTTTGTAATTCATCGAAATAACAATTTAAGACTAATATTCTCAACCTGGTGAAATTCTTAGACGATTTGAACATGACCGCATAAGGTAATCACACCAGCGTTGGAAGGGATTGGCATAGTATAATTATAAGATTAAAAATGGAATATTTCGTTCCACGTTTTAAAATAGTTACCCAATTTAAGAACCACCTGATTTTTGGAATTTTGAAAGTTTGAACCCTATTTTTCAACATAATTTGGTATTTAGAATTTTTATTGAGTACGTGAACTACCTGATTTAAGGTATTTGAAAAGTTTTGAATAAAATTGGCTAGATTGGGGTCTTTTATTTAATGCGTCAACTTTGTGCGAAAAAACCTGCACACTGATATTGCACGAGTTCAGAAACGGTACAGGTTTTGACAACATTCGACAATAGAATTAGTTGGAATTTTTATTTATATTTCTCATTAAATATTTCAACTCCGTACAATAGTCCACATATAACGTTATCATCCGATCTGGAGTGTTTTAGAGGGGCTTCCACAAACTTTGCATTTTTTAGGACATCCATACATTTTGAGCCACAGATATTTTCGATACTAAAAATTCACAATTGATATTTAACATCGCAACCCAAAAATTTTCTTAGGTTAGGGCACATACCATGGCAGAAGAATACAGGTAGATGCATCAACGCTTGGGAGCATTGATATGTCAAAAAAAATTAAATGTTTTTTCAAAAATAAGTAGATTTTTATATGTTTTCTTATACCACGTCATTCGGAGGCTATTATAATTCGCGTTTTTCAACAATTTTTACAAATTTAATTAATTTTTCATTCAACATTTTCAATTCCAAAATTGGTTTGACAGTTCATTGTCCCAGCAGCTGTGTCGACGCGTCTACCTATATTCTTCTACCATGGCACATACCGAAATTCCGAATTTAACTATCAAACAATTTAAGGGTCCATGGAGGATTCTTGAATAGATTGTAACATAAGCAAATAAAAAATCATTAGCATACATTTTGTTACTATATATAAAAAATACCGTTAAGTCATAGTCAATTTTTTTTATTATTAAAATCTAGTCCCAAAAATATTCCCCCCAATGTTGACCCGGTCTACGTCATTAATAAGCTCAAACTCTCTTGCCGCTCAGTCTTACCAAATATAGATGGGAGAATAGCAAGGCAAAGCTTGAATTGAAAAACGTGATTGAAACAACAAAAGCAAATACTATCTGTGAGTGCTCCAACCCAACTGTTGCCGATATTCAACGCTCAGTTGTTATTACTCACCGTATTGACTGTTTGTTTGAGTTTGATAAAGCCCTTGAAAAGCTTGTGTAGATTTACACACACGACTGCATCTAATAATTGGTTTGTGGATGCTTGGCTAGTTTTGCTTTTTGTTGGCCTCCGCTTGATTCAGTCGCTTTTAGCCTGCTCTGCATAACATATTACGACAAAAAAGGAAAACAACACACAGAGAAAGAACTTCAATTTAAGTTAAAACTAATCCAGTGGATGGTGTTGTGTCATACGTATCAAAACATACACCAAATTGTCGTTTTAACGTTTCGGACGGAACGTTTCATTCTGTTCCGTGTTTGTTTTTTTGTGTGAATCGTTTGTTTCAAATAGTGCCAAATATGAAAGTGTTTACTCATTTTACTCATCCACGACTGTTGCTGCTATTGGTTTTGGGTTGTTGTTTCCAGTTACATGCTAACGGGCAATTACAATCGCAACAGGTTCGTTGGTTGTTTGCTGGTTTGAAACCATAAGTTTACTGAAATATTCCATTGTCTTTTTAATAATGGCTGTGTGACATTTCGCTTTTGTTTATTTTATGTTCAGCTGGTTTTTCCCGATGATAACGCTCATTTTAATAAAACCTTGGCAAATATTTTGCAACCACGGGTTGTGGGTTCAATCGGTCATACAAATGTTCGCAACTTCATTGTAAGGTAAATATAATTTTTGGTAATTGTCATCATATTTTATCTGACATATGGTGGTTTGTAAAAATCTGTTGGCTAGTGTTGAAAAAATTCCTATGAATTCATTAAAAATTATGTTTTGATTTACTTCTGTTTATTAATTTCCAATTAATTTTTGCAAATTTTGGAAATTTCTCTTTGTATTCCGAGAAAGATTTATAAATCATGCTTACCGCAATGGAGATAAACGAACCAAACATATTTTTTAAAGTATTGGCAAATTTTTATTAAGGAACAAAAACAATTTCGATTTAAGATCATGACGTATACTACGATGTGCGTTCCTTCCTCTACATGAGATGAATATAAAGTATATTATATGCATAATCTTTCAATCGACATTATGCGTATAAAATAGACTTTGTGTTTGCTTAATGCATTTTCAATATGTTTATTTCTGGTAAGATTTTTATATTCAAGAAATAAGACCCATCCACATTTTTATAAAATTAGAGATGAGACGGAGATAAATTAATCTATTAGCTTTGTTTAATATAGTTTTGTATTTTATATACAATACTTATTTGTATTCAAAAATAATCTCATAGTGTCAAAACTGCGAATGTTCTAAACAAAGACAAAGTCTTGTGATATGGCCAATAAATTGTGGTTATTTTAATCATTTCTGAAAGACCGGGCACTTTTTATACCTTTTGTCTGTTCTTGTAATATTAATATATAATTGTTATGGTTTATGGCGTTGCAACATTAAATATTAATCATTTTCTTATTTTTATAATAACAGCGAATTAAATGCACTTGGTTTTACAACGGAAATCGATTCATTTTCACAAAAAGTTCCAATATTTGGAAATGTTACTTTTTCGAATATCGTGGGTGTCATTAACCCCAATGCCAATGACTTTTTGGCATTATCCTGCCATTATGATAGTAAATATTTTCCAAAAGATCCCAATTTTGTTGGAGCTACAGACTCGGCGGTTCCTTGTGCAATAATGCTCAATACAGCGAAAACATTGCAGCCATATTTGGAACAAAGTTTTAAAAATCGCCAAGATTTAGGTTTGATGGTAAGTTCCCATATAACGCTTAATATTCTAATATTTCGTATAATTAATGTTTCCTAAGCTAATATTCTTTGACGGCGAAGAAGCATTCCGTGAATGGAGCAATGATGATTCAGTTTATGGTTCAAGGCATTTGGCAAAGAAATATTCCAATACAAAGTTGAAAGGCAATATCAGGCATATTGATCGGATTGTAAGTAAATTGATATGTAGTTTTCATCATATTTGTCAAATATTTCATTGTACTTTTAGGAAGTGTTGGTCCTCTTGGATTTACTTGGTGCTCCAAATCCTAAATTCTATAGCTTTTACGACAACACCGATGGTTTACATAAAAGCATTCACGACATAGAAAGGCAATTGGCAAAGCAGAAAAAATTAGAAGGAAATAACTTAATGTTTATGAATAGACCAGCTCAAGGATTTGTTGATGACGATCACCGACCATTTTTACAAGAAAGTAAGTTAAAACATGTCAACTTTCTGTTTGGAATAATATACACACGTTTCGTCAATTTTCAGATGTTCCAATTTTGCATATTATTCCAACTCCATTTCCAATTGTTTGGCACACACCGAACGATGATGCTACTAATCTTCACTGGCCAACTATTCGCAACTTCAATAAAATATTCCGTACCTTTGTCTATGAATATTTGCAACGGCATATGGAGAGAATCAATTTGAGATATTTCTGAATAAATGAGGGTATATAGAATTTTTTTTTGTAAAATTTAATAATCTATTTGATGTGGACATAATAAATATATTTTTCAAAAAACCCAGAATACAACGTTATCTAATTCCTTGATACAAATAATTTACATTCCAAAGAAGACAACATTTGAAGCCATTATTTAATAATGGAAATTACAAAATACCTATATCAAGTACAAAGTTCCAACGTATCATAGAGATGAGATGATCATTATTGCTATTTTTAAAGACTTTTTTTATTTGTAGAAATGGAAATTATATTATTTTTCATAATAGCCGTAAAAATAGATAGTTTTTCATTTTTAAATTAAAACTAAAATATAAACAGAAAAAAATATATTTTTCTTAGCTTATAGTTGTGTTTGTATTAAAGCTGAATATTCAGTTTATCTTCTCTTGCGACCAATGGCAGGCTTTTTGCCGGGCGCTCTTTGACCTCTGCCGCCTTTAGGTTTCTTGCCTACAGCTTTGCGACTTCCCTTACCCTTTTTACCCTTCTTTCCTTTGCCTTGTTCAGGATTCTCCTCACGTCTGCAAAAAAATGTAAATTAATATATTTTCTATGAAACTTCTTCCACGGAACTTACTCTAAACGTTCATCATGTTTCTGTAATGAAATTGCCTTTTCAATATCAATCTTGGGTTTCTTGTTCAAAACACTCTTGATGAGATCCAAATTGGCTTCTTTTTCAGGGGTATCAGTAACGTGGGAAGCCTTACGTTTGGAGCCTGGAATAAGTTCTTTGACACCAATACCACGAGCTTCCTTCTCTTTGGGAAGTTTGTTTTGGAATTTACCAACTGAAGCTGTTGACGATTTAGCTACAGTAACTGCTGTCAACAACTGATTGGAAGTGGCAGCCTCTGCTCCCAAATAACCACTACGAGGTACCTCTTCCTTTCTAGCCCTTACAATATTCTTCATGCGCTGAATTTCATTCTTAGCCACCTTTTCATTACGCAAGTCGATCTTTTTCTGGAACATATCCTCCATTGGATCAACATTTTGTGGCACTTCCAAAACCCAATCCTTTTGTTTTTCGGCATCAGCACGTCTGTAGCCGTATGTGGGTACCCATTTCTAATAGAAAGTAAATTTTAGTAAACAGATGATAATAATTCAAAATGAATACTCACATCCAAAGTTTCGTCGTAGACCTTCTTTTCCTTGTTCTTTTTCGTAATACCCTTTTCTTTTGCGAATTTCTCCCATTTAGTCATAGGTTTAGGTCCAGGAATCTTACGCAGGCGAGGTATTGTTGTAATTGGCTCTGGCAATTTGGCTACAATACATTCATCAACTCGTTCCGTAGGTAATTCCCAAATGCTGTTTATTAATAACTGAGTGTTGTCGCGGGTTAAATTCAGCAAATAGTTTTCTCTGTTTTCCCTGAAAGTAACCCATAACGGTTAACAACATACATTTATCTATATCATAAAATTTGAAATACATACTTCATTGCATGCTCATCCAAATCATTTGGATCTGTGATTAACATTGTACCCACATCCAATTCGCATTCCAAATGTTTCTCAACCGTAATGGGTTTATATTTCTCCAACTCCCTCTGTTGTTTCTCCAAAACTTCCTTGACAATATCCATTTTGTTGGATATTTTAATAAAATCGGTCTAAAAGGAGAAAATTAAAGGACGAATGGATTGATGTTGATGTTTTGATGTGCACGTGTTGTGTTGACGCGGACTATGAAGCCGCTGACTACACACTATAACGCCGACAACCTTAACATATGTTTAGAGAGGCAAAACAGAGTTGATTGTTGATGACGCCTTGTAAGAAATATACTCCACCGTTAACAAAGCATTTAATACTATTTAAACAAAAAAGGGAACAAGATGTCAGAATTCACTCTTTTCATTTTTTGCCTTTTTTCCTTCTTTTACACGATTCAGATTTAAAAAATCTTGAAATAAGCCAAGAGTTTTTAGGTCGAATTTTCGATTAGTTAAAATGAGACGGTATTATACACAAAGATGCTAATATTATTTTCAAGTGGAAATAGAAACATTCGTGGTCATTAATTGTGACACGAGTGGTTTCACAGCACTAAGATGTGTAACTACAATTTTTTTACCCTATTCTGTGTAAATATGTACACATTCGTTCTAGTACTGTTTTAGTGGTAAGGACTGTACCATTATACGATGTTTAATGACATTATTTCGATTTATGTGCTTAATTCTCCCAAAATTTACGATAATTTACCAAACAAAGTTAAATCCATTTAAAACTTTATTTTATTTGAAATCTAATGTTGTATCGAAATATAATGCATACAACACAGTTTTACTCCTTAATGCAAATGCAAATATTGTAATATGTGCTAAAATTGTCAACTATATTCGTATATCGTTACTAACTTTTATAAACAATATATTTAATATCGACTTGTATGCTCGTTTTGTCAGGAAACCAAAATAAACTGGGCGTCAATTCTTGTTCTATGAAAATGTGAAATGAAAACTTTTATAAAGGAAAGAAATGTCAAATGAAAAATTTTATAAAGGAAATATTTTTCATTTCATATTTTCATAGAACAAGAATCCAGCCCCTGGGCCTCAATTCTTGTTCTATGAAAATGTGAAATGAAAACTTTTGTAAAGGGAAGAAATGTCAAATGAAAAATTTTATAAAGGAAATATTTTTCATTTCGTATTTTCATAGAACAAGAATCCAGCACTTGGTCTACTTGAACTTTGGGAAAATAATAGGATGAAGGTGCAAGCATGGTACAATGATATCAAGGTAGGGCTATGATACCATATGATTTTAATTTTTTTTATTTTCTTGGCTTACGGTGTCATCTTTATTTGTTTATGTATGTGTTTTCTTTTCAATAACAAAAAAATTGTTCAGAAAATATTCAAATTTTGATGTTTATTTCAAAGTATGCATCGATAAAATCTAGAGTTTTTGTAGCGAAATAATCCTTTAGAGATATATAGTACATAATTTTGAAAAGAAGTGTTGACCTTTCATTCAGTTATCGCATTTTTTAATTATTTATTTAAAATAAATGCAACAAGTTGTTTGTTTTTTTATTGTTTTGATATTAATTCTGACATTACAAGCCAAACAGGTAGACCTCAATACTTGCAATTTTTTCAAAGTTGACCTACCATGGGTTGAACCAATATTTCTTTGTGCGATTAGCTCATCATGTTTTCTTGACCTATTTTCATATGTCACGTTTGAATTTTTTATTTTATTTTTGCAAGCAGATGATATCCATACAAATGATAAATGCAAAAAGTACAATTTTTCTTATATCAATGGCATGCGGTAAATAACTAATTTCTATGCTATTTGTTGTAATTTTTTATGAACATTATATTTTTACTAGTTGACAGTGCATATTTCTCTTGTAATTGGAAAATACAACTCTGCAGCTCTACATTCTGAACACTTCCAATAGTGTTTTGAAGTTTTTCTGAACTGCAACCAACTTCATTCAATAGCCATATTGCTTCCGCCATGATGTTTCCTTTTTCTTTTCTGTCATCGCAGTGCCCGACAAAAGGTGAGAATTTTATTTACTCCAGTGAATTTGTTGAGTTAACACGTGTAAAATTTTGTCGATACCAACGAAATTCAATCAACATACATATAGAATTTATGTAAGACCAAAATACAGAATCATGCTGCTGAAAAACAACGATAAATCTCATGGTAAATATTACGAAAAATTCTACACGTGCTAACTTCAATAAAAATTCTGTTTAGCCAAACAAACAAAAAAGTGATTAAATTTCTCCATGATGAATTGAAAGGCGGAAGAGTTCTTGAAGACTATATTCATCACCCAAGACTGACATGGAAATTTAATACAATTTGCAATTTTGCTTTATAATGGTTATTCGAGGACATTTTATTAATGTTTCTGTATGTCTTTCTTTTGCAGACTTGAGATGGCCACTTCGTCGCACCTTAACTGGTTGATCGTCCGCAACAACAATGCCTTCTTGTTGAAGAAGCGTGATATCAAGAAACCATTCAGCACTGTGAGTATTATTGATATTCTTTTAAGTGAAATTTAGTGAAAATGTTGCTGTTGTCAATGATGCTGTTTTGAATTCACAATGATAGTTGATTTACCACGTGATAATAACCCTTCTCAAACCTGAGCACAAATGCAACATTTTCAATATATTTCTCTGTAATATGCGAAACAAACGTAGATGATTGAAATAATTTACTTTGCTTATTGTAGGAGCCCAACAACTTGACCAATGTCAGTTCTTACCGCTACAGTGGAATCGTGCACAAGAAGACCCTCGGCGTTGTACCAGCTGCCGACAAAAAGGGCTTCACCGTTGTTATGAAGAAGGGCAAATACGCCCAACGTCCCGCCAAGAGCACTGTTAAAGTGACCATGAAGGCTGGTCCCAGAAGGTCTTTGAAGAAGTTCAGAAACCTTTTGACCGACAACAAATACCGCAAGGACTTGACTCAAGTAAGTTTATGCACAAGTAGTTTTTGATTTTTATTTAATTCTACAATAAGTCATGATGATTTGCTTTTATTACCAACCAAGATCGCTGAAAAGTTTTGATTACATCTTTATTACTGATAAAATCAATAACGATTATGGTGTTTTTAAAAAATTTTCTAGTTGTACTAATTGGTTACTATTTCTTTTCATTTCAGGCTGCTTTGCGTCGTGCCTCCGCTGTGATGCGCTCCCAAAAGGCTCCTCAAGTCAAGAAAGCCAAGAAACCAGAATAGATGTTAGGCTTTTAAAGAACCCTTTTGAAATATAGACAAAACAACTCCAACAACAAATATATTTAATTGTGTGTTTCATTGGTGTGCACGTTTTAAATAACGCTGCATAGCTGTCTCTAACATTAGGTATAAACATATATTAGCCATTTGGATATCAAATTGGTGGTGATTCTTGTATTTTCGGGACCATCGAAGTGATAGAAGTTGTATAAAATATAAATACTACCGCAGTTTGACTTCATACAACTCATGATATGATCAATTTTGTCGAGCCTAACAAATGTTTCAAAAGTGATTTGAATCTGGAAAGTCAACAGTAAGGAATCAACGAAAATTTTGAGAAAATAGTCTATTAAAACGAATGTGAGGTGTTGCTCACAACATGAGTATGTTAAACGTCATGGTGGTCTTTTGCTTATAAACTACTATGAAGATATGTCTATTGAGCAGCGTGGTCGGAACTCGGAACATAGTGAGGTCATTTTTCGGCTCTATCTTTAGCTGTCTATGGTTAAACTCTAGAATTTCTTTGTACTGTATTGTGAGCCAGAAAACAACGCCTTTTTTTTAAATTCTAAAATCATGAATTTGGTTACAAATTTTACACACTTTCACCAAATTTTAGCCCACAATTGTAATGAGCAGACATTGGTTATCAGGCTTCATTTTGTACTCATTTGTAACCAAAAATTCGGAAAGATTCTGCTTTTATTAAAACAAATGAAAACCCGTAGGAGCTTTGAAGTTTGCATATTGCTTTACAGTAGTATGTTATTTTTAAAATTTCAATCATGTCAGGAATTTCAAAACAATCGGGAATGATATATAAACTCAAAGTTGCCTTCCAGAGCCATTCTACATTAAATAAATAAAATCAAAGAAGACCCTATAAATTTAGCCGTGTTGGAGTATCTGTACTACTTGCGCCATCTAGTGAAACATAACATTTAAATGTGCCATATTACGGTTAAAGTCGTTGCTAAAGGCTATGCTATGGTTGGTGTATTTGCTATACAGATACGATTATTCACTGACGTAACGCACAAACAATGCATTACCTCAACAATATATTGAATATTTTGTAGATGGCACGATTGGTACAAAAAAATATTTCTAAATTGATTCGAAGCAAAATAATTGCAAATTGTGTATGTATTAAGTCAGAAAGGGACACCATAAGAATTGCAATCAAGAATTTATATTTATTGTTTTCCTTACCCCGCCTCTCATAATGAAATAATAATTAAATTTCAAATAATTATAAATAACAATCGGCTTTGATTATTTTATTCTAAAATTAAATTTACACAAATTATTCCTCTTCAAAAATAATAACATTCGTTACATTCTATTTGGTAAATATTGTCTTAGTATCACACATTGTAAATATATACACACGTTGGGGCATGGCTAATTCATGTCCGCCATCATCATCAGTTGCCATCGCTACTGTTGTTAACTCTTCAGTCTTTTCTTATGATATTCTCAATACTAAAGGCAGTTGGACTCTTATTGTGGGTCGCACTTTGTAGATCAGGTGCAGGAGATTTTTCCTTTTTGATTCTCACCAGAGAACACGTGGGAGTAAATGCACTTGGCGATTGTGTTAACATGCGGTCACTCGAGCAACTGCTGTTCGACAATGCATCACCGGAGAAATCCAATGATTCCACATCGGCAAAGGAATTTGATGAACCAGTATGAGATGCCGGTGCAGCAGGAACTTGACACGTTTGTGAGGTGGAGGCAAAATTGGGATTAGCATATTCCTCGGACATTTGCTGGGATGGCGAATTATTTGAGGAAGAGGAGTTGGCCATTGATGGATTACCGAAAAGTATATTAAATGGTGCAATGGAGGCCAAATATTGGCGATGCATTTCTGTAATACGATCTGTGTAGTTCAAACATAACGTTGACGAATTCATGCTGAACATGGACTCCATATTGCCAGGCGATTGATCACATAAACTGCCCTGTTGTTCGGAGGCCTGTAAATGGAATAAAAAGGATTTAGTTATAAAGTTAATTTCTTATTATTAAATTTATGTATGAAGATCTGTTGTCAAATCATCTTGAGAGTTTGGAAGAAAAGTTTTATTATAGAAAATTATTAATTTGAAAAATGAATTCCAATAAGTGAGAAACGTTTATTGCTTTTTTATTATTTTCGTCTTAACTCGGACCAAAATAAAGTCAAAAAAAAAAATGTACAATTGAATATTTTTTAACTAAAACTAATTTTTTATAGCTCCTTCCTTGTTTTTCCTTCTTGCATTCCAACTCACCTTAAAGCTTTCGCCCAACAATGTACCCGTTTTCAGACATTGTCTTTGCCTTCTCGTCCTCCGTCTTCGATAGTTTCCCTGTTCGAACATATCACTTGCCGACGCATCCAACATCCAATAGCTCCCCTTACCGGCGCTATCGTTATCATCGATGGTGTTCTTATCGCGTGCTACTTTAACGAAGCAATCGTTTAGTGAGAGATTGTGCCGAATCGAATTCTGCCAGCCTTGTTTATTCTCTCGGTAATAGGGAAATCTGTAAAGAAATAAAGTTGTTGTGATGAAAACTTAAATTGAATAATGAATTAATAATTTAGAAGTAGGTTTTAAAATGAAAAAAAAAAACCACAATGTATGTATGAATTGTATGTTCCAAAATCCATTCAATTTGGACTTATATTAACTATTAAATTGGAGAAAGATATATATTGTAGCTAAATGCAAATCTGAACAGATATCGATACAATTTTGGAGAGGTAAATTTGAGCTGTATTTGGTATCTTTTTCCAAATGTCGTTGTAGTGGAGTGCATATTACGACTGTGGGGGACTAAAATAACAAATCGGATGAACAATAAATGTGGAAGCTTTAGTTATATCTGAGCTGTTTTTCAAAAATTCAACACATTTACTTCAAATTCGATCCTATTTGGGTCAAAGACTTCTATGGGAGCTATATCTAAATTTTGACCGATTATCACTAACTTCAATAGGTCCTTGAGCCAAACAAATGAATTGTGCAAAATTTCATTTCGATCGGACAATAAATGCGAACTGTACTTTGTTTACAAAAATACGTGGACGGACAGAAGGACATATATAAATCGACTCAGAATGTGATTCTATGCAGATCTTCAAAAGGAACTATGTATCTAACTCGCTTCCTTCTGCATGTTACAAACAAATGTACATAGATATAATACCCTGACCACAATGTGGTGTAGGGTATAATAAGCAAAGAATCACCGATTATCATTATCCGTCGAAATTCATCGAAATTTCCGCTATAGATAATTTTATTATGTAAATGGGATATACCAGACTGCTCGACTAAATTTTTGGATTAAATATACACCCAATGTCAGCTCACACATTCGAAAATATTTATATTTAAGGGAAACATATCTAAATATTTACATTTTATGAGTATATTGCCAAGAACATATGGATCTAATATAGTTTTGGAAGTCAAGATTTAGGTTGAGTTCCCATTCATAACTTGCTCCGATTACAAGTTAACTATGCCCAAAATGCATAATTCATGCCTAAATAAGATGGATATTTGCATATAAGTCCGAATTTAATCTAGAAATAAGGCTGAACAATTTGAAGATTATCTATAGAGCCCATACCCAGCAAACATTTACATTACTAACAATGACTGAACTAAAAGGATAATAAACAATACCACAAACAAGTTAAAAAGTATCAGTCGGTTTTACCGGCAGATGTATAGCCAATAGCAGCCAATTTTCGATTATTTAAATATATTTCGACTTCTGCTAATATTATTCAAATTGTTGACCCTCTATGGAGTAGGTTTCGAAGGAATGGACCAATATTGTCCATTTCGTATCGGACCTAAATAAATATGATATAAATATTGCGACGGGTCAGGTTTGGACTATATTGGTTACTTCCTTCACTTTATATGAGATATGTGATCATTTTTAGGAAATGTTAAAATGTGAGTGAGGTACCAAAAACACTCGACCGAAGTATTTCACATAATACAGATACAAGTATTGGTATGGGCAAAATTACAAGAAAGTCAAACATTTATATCCATTTTAAATTCCATATTAATCTCAGGTTTCTAGTTGAGAGAAATATTTAAACATAGCAAGTTGTAAATAATCGTTGGCTTGTTTTGCAAGTGATAACAGACAAAAGTTTTGTTTGTATGTATGTGTGAAATTTGAAGAGAGTTGAATGCTTATTTCGACTTCTTTGAGCGTGTTTTTTTTTTTTTTTCAAAAATTTGAATTCTATGTGGGAGAGGTACCAGAAGAAATGGTCCGATTTCTACCATTTTTATGACAGGTCTTGTGTTGATGGGAATATTGAGATGTCTAAATGGAATCGGGTAATAATTTCTCGTTTTATGAGCTTCATGGATATTTATAATTTTGACCCTTTGTGTGGGATGTACCAGAAGGAGTAGATTGATATATTTCATACCTTTGGTTAATAAAAATACTGTGATGTGTGTAATTTGTAGACCATCGGACCCTTACATCACATTTTATAGGAGTCATAATTATTCAAAATTTTTTACCTTTTGTAGGAGGTACTTGATGGAGTAGACCGATACTGTCCATTTTCTCACCTGACCGAGCAGTGATGCAAATATTAGGATTTGCAAAGTTGGACATCGGATTATCCTTACATTATTATCCATTCTGTGCAGTAAAATATTTTTTTGAAATTTCGAACTTTTGTGGGGGAGGTACCAGGTACCCTTTCTAGCCATATGGCTGAGGGTATAATAATAGGAAACATATCTGGGGTCGATTTTTTTTCAAGACCCAGGAAAATTGCCCAATGGAGAGGATTGTCCGAAATCGATATGTCTCGATATTTGTCGCGATTAAGAATTTATTTTCGTTTACCTATCGAATACTGATTATCGGTATTTTTAAATAATTTTCGTTAAGATGGAGGGTATACGCTGATTGCTGATTGATTTTGATCTTGTTTGAAATACAACCAAAACAATTCTTTTCGATACTTCATTTTCCTCAAGAACAAGTCGAGCTATATCTATTTGTGATTTGTTTTGTAAACAAATGCAATATTTGTGTGGGCATAAATAGTCCTGTCAAAACAGCCGTTCCAAAGGCGTGAAATTTCACAACATGGAATTAAATGTCCACAAAGCTGAATTAATAAAATCTCAAAAATTCTCATAAATCTCATGTGGGAAAAACGGTACTCGGGATTAAAGGTCACCATGTTTATTTGTTTATATTTCTCGAAAACGATAGATTTTATCCAAATTTTTCTCATACAAAAGATGTTAAGATGTTCTGCAAAAATGTTTCCATTGATATCCTTCCTAACAGATATCGCTATTCTATTAATTCTGTAATTCGTTATTATACCCTCCACCATAGTAACTCCTCGAAATATACATTTTATATATTCTTGATCAGGATGAAATTATATGTGGATTTAACGATGACCGTCTGTCCGCCTGTGCAAATCACTTCCGACCGAATTGAATTAGGTTGATAAAATTTTACTAAAATGTGTGTTTCGTCTGAAGGTCTTTTGTTATTGAAAATAGGTCAAGTAGGTCCACGTTAAGGTATAGCCCTATAAAACTTTACCTACCCATATTCGGTATTTCGGAATTAGTTAGAATTTCGTATTTGAAGATCCTAACAGGTACTACAGTCTATGACAAAAAATTTCTTTATGCATAGCCCTCATATATCGGTACCTCTCAATATTCGATATTTTTATGATTTTAGATACATTAATCGTTCGGAATTGTTTCAGATTTCGTATTAGACCTTCCTAATGGGTACTTCAGTCTATTGCAGAAAATTGTCTATTCAGGTCCAGGCCATCGTATAACTCCTAAATATCCCTACCTCCATATATTCGGTATTTTGATTATTTTAGCTACATTATTCTCCGGAATTGTTTTAAATTTCGTATTTGCACTTTGTATTTGGTACTACAGCCTGTGACAAAAAAATTGCCTCTGCATATTCGTATAGACCCCAAAATAACGGTAACTTCCTATATTCGGTATTGTTTTTAAGATTTTAACAGAATTTTTAACGGATCCAAATTTTTTATTAAAAATTTCCAAATTCGTTCTAAATGGTGGAGGGTATTCATAGTTTGGCCTGGCCTAATTTACTGCTTTTTAACTTGTTTAACCTTCCATTTGTAGGAATTTTAAATGTCTATTTTATATGGACTACAATTTCTAGGTAGTTATCCTATGACATGCCCTTGTTTAAACAAAGGGCTGGTAATACTATTTGTAATGAGTATTTTTGCCAGGAAATAATTCCGTCGGTTCATGGAAGGGTGTTTTGTACAGTATGAGTTGTTGAAATTGTTTCATATGATATACAAACTGACACGATATCATAAGTTTTAATGTTGACAAAGCTTAGACACGTTTTGCAAGGTCGCCTGGTCTAACGCTATTTAGGAATTATTGTATGGGAAGTTTTGACATACCCACTTTATAGTCGACCTTGTTGCTTCAATCTACCAGTTTGAAAAACGAAAATTTTGAACTCCTCCATTTTCCTTACTCTATTCGAATCACTCTAAAAATTTGTTTAATATCGATCCACTTCATTCGGTTTTGCACTTACTTGTCCATTATAAATTTGTATATTCCACTTAAAGTCAAACGTTGATTTGGCGCGCTGCTTATGGCCATAGCTATGAGGGCTATGTACGAGAATGGCGGCTTTTCGGGACGATGTGAATTCTGCAGAAATGACCACGGATATGACCACATACTATTTTGCATCGTCATTAATGGATGCATGTTCGAATAGAAATAGGGACTTGGTGACACCGATGGCGATGTGTTATTATCCGTTAACATGGCTGGCAGGGGTGGACCATGTGCGAGGCTAGGATCCATATAATCCGGACGCGGTAATAAAGGAGCCGCACTTGCTGCTAGCGGTGATAAGTTGAGGTAATATGGCGAGGGTAGCATTGTGTTTGGTAATTTTAAAACTTTTCCGTTATTTTTTAAACACTTTTTTATGCTTTGTTTCGGTGGGTATAGCTTTAAACACTTCAAGATTTTTTCTTTTTTAACTTTAAAAATTTAAAATATTTTATTTCTAATATTATTTATTTAATTTCCTCTTTGCTTCGTTACATTTGTTTTATTATAAATTTGTAACACACAAAATATTTAAATTTTCGTTATCCAAGATTTTCCGATTTGATGTCTTTGCTCGCCCACGGCTAAATGAAAAACCATTTCAAATATCCGTTTCTGTTTCAGATAGTCAAATTTTTGTTTCGCTCTGTCAATTGTGTGGGTGCGAGTGTGTGTGTGTGTTTTTGTTGCGCTACATTGATGAGCGTAAGATAGTTTTCCTCGGAGATCATCTCCATCCCATTCCGCTCATATGTAAACAAAAATCACACTTTTATGCTAGGGTTTTTGTTGTTGCAGTGGGATGATCTTATTCTTTTCTCAGACTGATGCTCTATATATCTATTCTCGCCCCACCATGCCGTAGTAAGAACACACATATGGCCAACCAACCGATGCTCCGCACTAACACGTCCCAATTGTGTGCTCGCTCTCATTCTTTGCTCTTTTTAGATGACAAAAAGTCGTAAAATTGCTTGTTGTTGTTTTTCCGTTTTATCCAAGGAAAATGTGAAATGTTGTTGATACATCAAACCAAAACATTCGTCGCGATCGGTTCGTTCACATATTGATTTTGTTGTAGCAATTCAACACGGAGAAAGAATATCAATGCTGCACCAACAAATGCCAAGACACTTAAACGCCGATGCACGAGTGTTTTTTTTTGTTTTGTATTTGATTTTCTTTTTTACAAATAGGGATATGGAACTACAAAGATTTAAACAAAAACAAAATCAAATAGAAATTATCATAAAAAGGGTTCTGGCAAAATGATCATAAAAAAGTCGTAAAATTTTTGTTAGCATCGTTGTTTACAATCAAAACTTTCACTGTTGCTCTCAATGGAGATACGTCTGGTCTTATTAAGGAGTACAGCGAAGATACTCTTTGTTAGAGATGACGATCCTGAAACATCCAAATTTAAATTGTACAATAAGGATATGTTCAAGAGCTCTGGAAAAAAATTATTTCAGGATGCTGTTGATATCCAAAACCTAGGAACCGCTAGTCTTGAATGTTACGTATGATTTTCCCGAAATTCGTCGAAGGAATCTGTCGAAAGGAACAACACACATCCAAACGAAGATTTAGTATTGAAATTTTAAAAATATTTTTCAATTTGATAAACAATTTTAAAAAAATTAAAATTTAATTTAACAATTTAACAAAATTTTTAAGTAAGGCTTTAAGAAGGTGGTCCGGGTGTACTGGGCTTTGTATGAGAATTGAAATTTCTATTTTTGAACTATTTGAGGTAACAGGAGTGGTTCAATAGAGTTTCAAAATGTTAAATATTGCGTTGCGTAAGGTTTGGACTAATTCTTCAACTCGGCTTACTTCATTATTGCTTGCGGTATTTTTTTTTAAGATTTGACTGTTTTGGGTATATAACCAGAAAAATCAATGGATACCTGTTTTTTTCTCCACACTTTTTATTTGGAATATACAGGGTGAGATTAAAAGACAACAAAGTCAAACACCATAATTTTTACATTTATATACCCTCCCCCTACCATGGTATGAAGGGTATATTAAGTTTGTCATTCCGTTTGTAACAACGTAACTTGATCAGCAAAAAATTCTATGTCGATTTAGCGATGTCCGTCTGTGGAAATCACTCTAGATTCCGAACAAAATGAAGTAGGTTCATAAAATTTAACTCAAATGTGTATTATTTCTGCAGGACTTTTGGTATTGAAAATGGGTGATGTAGGTCTACGTTTTGGTATAGCCCCCATATAATGATACCTCCCTTTTTCTGCATTTTGATGATTTAAGCGACATTATTCACCGGAATTGTTTCAAATTTGGTATTTGAAGTTCGTAATGGGTACTACAGTCTATGACAGAAAATTGTCTGCGCAGGTCCACGTCTTATAACGGTACTTTCCTATATTAGAAATTTTTTATGATTTTAGGTACATTATTCACCGAATTTTTTTTGAAGTTTCGCATTTGAATATTGTAATGGTTTATAACAAAAGTTGCCTATGCAGGTCCATGTCTTCGTATAGACCTTCAAATAACGGCTACATTTGGTATTTTTAAGATTTTAACATAATTTTTAACGGATTTTATTTTTTTCAAAATTGCTATAATCGTTCCAAATAGTGGAGGGTATTCAAAGACCGGCCCGGCTAAAATTGCAGCTTTTTTACTTGTTTTTTTTTTTAATTTTATTGAATGAAAGCAAAACATCTCGGAGATCAAATTTAAGAATAAGTTTAGATTTGTCCGAATTGGTCACCTTTGGGACGAATTATGGCCTTCAATGGCCACTGAAACCGTGCGATAATGCTGAGTCCTGTTGGAATGTCCAATGTCTGCGGCCAAAATGTTTGCGTTCCCGAGGCTTTAATACACCCTCCTGAATATCACCGCGATAATATTCGGCGTTTATTCTGATTAATACGAGCGGGGAGCGGCCATCAGCTGTTATGGCGGCCCACACCATCACCATGGCCGGCGCTTGAGTTCTGGTGGCCAACAGCTGACCTCTTTAACAAGCAAACGCGATCATTTTGTTTGTTTACAAACTCCTGGACAACGAATGTTTTCTCATCGGAGAAACCCAAATTCGGCAGTTCACCACTTTCGGCCAAGCGAAGCAACTCTTTAGCTTTTTTTTAGTATATTTTCTCTCTGTTGCGGTGTAAGTTTTTGCAAAATTTTAAAAAATATGTAAAAATTATGGCTACAAAGTCGCAGGTTTTTATCTCACCCTCTATATTCTTTATCAGAATTTATGGAACACTTTTTTCGAAGATAAGAGATGAGTCAAAATTTTCGTCTTTTCCAGCCCAAGTTTTGTAGAATTATGAAACTCATTAAAAGAGAAGACAGTTTTTCATCGTCAAAAATGAGATAAAGCTCAATATTATTATATTGAATATTATATTATATATTGAAATATTATCACTTTTGGTATGCCTCTACAAATGTCATATTATCGTCTCACACAGTCGGCAAATCTTACTTATTTGATTCAATTAAAGTTACAAAATCGACATCCCTACCCTCGATCAATGAAATCTTCCATCTACTCCAAGAGAACGTCCGTGTCTGTGTGTGTGTGTATTTTCAGCATTTTGCTTCTTCTCTCTGTTTAATTTCTATTAACCACATTAATCATTGTTGCAATTGCATGCGGTCAAATCGATAAAAACCCTATAAAAATTATACTCTCCTGTTTGGTGGTTTCTGGCCCTGCTGTTCTTTTGTGCTGTGCGCTGTTGTTGTACTGTTGTGTTGTTTTTGTTTTGGTTTGCTACTTAGGCTTTCGGTAGCTTTGATTTGGTGAGATTTGTTTGTTCCAAAGATCGTTGGTGGTATGAACACCTCGTTTGTTGTAAATATTTTGAAATTATAAAATACTGTCTATAAACAAATACCTATAAAAAAGAATAATTGGATTTTGTCTGTTTTGTTTTTTGTTTTTCTGCCTCTAATAAAAGGTGGCGGTTAGTGGTGTATTTTGATTGTGGCTGTTTTGAGAACCACATCAAAGGATGGCAGAATAGTTTGTTTAATTCTTGACTAATAGTATGGGTAGGGTCAATGAGGAAATCATTTAAAGGGAAATTTATCATATGCACATGGTGTTTGTTGTTGTTGCCGTTGGTAATTAAAAATATCGGAAAATGTGAACATTTCAATTAAATGATAAAAGGCGGAAAGGCTTTGCTGAATTTGTCACTTTGGCGAAGTATTTCGTTTAATCTTCGCCATTGGCTGGAAACAAAGGTTTATTTTAAAATAAAAATAATAAAAAATAATCTTGGACAGCTTCTAATTTTAAATTAGTCTGATTTCTACGAATCAACTCAATTTTCCCTTTAAATCAATGTAAACCAGATTACCAAAAAAATAGGAATAATTTTTGAATAATCTTTTTTACCTTCATTTAAAGAGAAATTGTGTTTGATTCATAGAAACAGAAATACATTATTTCATTTCTAAATGTCACATAGGTATTTTAAATTTATTTATTTTATTTATTCTTAATTATTATTTAAAATTCCTTCAAAATTTTGGCAAGCAACAATCCATAGCAAATTCAAAATATTAACCCAAAACACGAAATTGACGCTTTTTATATATTTATTATTAAACAAACTTATAAACAAATTAGAATTTAAATATTTCTGTTTTAATATAGGAAAATACATTTATGATCCAACAACAAAGCGAGTGTCTTTAAACCAAAAAAAAAAAAAAAAAATATATAAAATTATTTTTGTTGGTCTTTGCTTCTGGATGATGCCAACAATTCCATCCATGCCGACCAACCAACCGCTGAGATTCAAATCCAATTTTAAATAAATAAAATCAGGCAAAAATATTTTAATGAATATTTTAAATTTTCCTAAACAAAAAGGAAAAAAAGAGAACAAAAAACATACCACGAATATTGTAATATTTTCTTGCTAAATTTAATGAAAACACAAATAAATTTTCCTGGAGATTAAACTTTTCAAAAGAGTATTTATCGTTATTCTCACCGAGCATTGGACCGAGTCGAAGACTCTCGATAATAGTGGGCGTAAAATACGATCCATTTGTAAGATCGAGAGCCAGCTAAACGAAGCGAAAGCCAGAAAAAACAATGAAAGCGTCAATGGGATGTTGTGTGTAAATATTAAGAATTATTGATATTTTGTCGGTTGAATATTTGTATCGGAAATTTTTTGGTAAATAAATAAACTTATTGTGCGCGTAATAAAAATATTTTCTATAATATTGTATGTACGAATATAGTCAGTGCTGTGAAAATGGGTACATTGATTTGCGGAATTTCAATTCCTTATGGGTATGGGAGAAAATGTAAAGCTAACTCAGAGGTTATGGGGAGATGGTGATTTTTGAGGTTAAACAAATAAATGTATGTTAATGCGCCAAGAAAAATACATTATCACCGTTATTGTTTTTTTTTTTTATTTTTTAAGGGAAAAATTATATTTCCAACTTTACATCCTCTGCAATGGCTATAGAACGTATGTATCATTTGAAAAACTCAGAATTGCGTCTTATCGTAATCAATTTAAGAACATTTCGAATTTGCTCAAACGTTTCACATTGTAATTTTTCTATCCAACCTAGT